TGGCCTGGAATGTCCCCAGGACCACCAGGCAGGTCCCTGTTTGCAGGTGATACCCAGATGTAAAGTGGATAGACAGGGAATGTGCACAGCTCCTCGCAGGTGAGTAGAAAGACAAAGATGTGGACACTGGATGAGAAGTGTGACCTGCATATGGGAAGTGATAGTCCCCTTTCACCTACTGACCCCAATGTGTGCACACCAGGGAAGATTTAAAATGAGTCTGGAAAGACAAGTGCAGTTATTAATGGTGGTTACTTCTGGGGAAAAGTTTGGAAGCAGAGGGTTTAAAATTTTTTAAAAAACCTATTTGGTTTTCAGGCAAGTATTACTTTTGGGAGTGAAAAGAAAAGAAGGAAAAACTACTGTCTTGTGTGGTGGTTGTCATGAGCTAAGCATAATGTAAGGCAAGTGGCCTCAGAGTTTGCTATAATCAAGAAGCAGCTTCGGGGACATTTCCTTGTCCCATGAACGCCTTTTAGCACTGCTGGGATATCCTACCACGTGCAAACGTGCATTATTTATTACAAAAAGAGCTTTATTTTGGGTGGTACTAGAGACTGAACTCTAGTACCACTTGAGCCACACTCTGAATCCTTTGTGCTTTAGTTATTTTGGGGACAGGATCTCACATTTTTGCCAGGACCAGCGTGGACTGCAATCCTCCTATTTACACTTCTTGTGTAGCTGGGATGACAGGAGTTCACCACCAGGCCTTGCTATTGCTTGAGATGGGATCTTGCTGACCTTTTGCAGGGGTGGACTTTGAACCACAATCCTCCTGATCTCGTCTGCCAATTAGCTAGGATTACAAGAGTGAGCCTATAATTTCAATTTTTTTTTAAGAACAAGACAACTTAAGTTTGTATTTAGAATACACTGTGTCAGTCACTCATGGAAATGACCAAGAGGGTCTCTGCCTTCCAGGAGCTCATTATCTAGCTGATGCTTCTCGAATCACCTGGAGTTGCTGGGCATCAGTTATCACTGGTTATTTAAAAGCCAGTAGCAGAAAGCAAGCATTTGTTATCTAACAGTAGCCAAGGGTCAGGAATTCAGGGGTGACTTAGCAGTGACTCTAGCTCTGGTCCCTTGTGAGGCTGAAGTTAATTAGTGTGGGTGCTGCAGCCACCCCACAGCTCCAGTGGGGCTGACGGACTCACTTCCAACATGGTGTCACCACATGGCTGTTGGTGAAGGCCTCAGTTCTTGGTCATGTGAGTCTTTCCACAGATTAGCTACCAGAGAGTCCTCAGGGCAGGACAGCTGGCTTGCCCTAGACTGAGTGAGCCTGGAAACAAAGGTAGGAGCTGCGGTGTCTTCTGTGACCTAGCACTGTGCCATGTTTTGGATGTAGGGTCCCCATCCCATGCTGGAAGCTTGGTCCCCAGTGTGGTGCTGCTGAGAGAGGATGGACCTTTGAGGTGGGTGGTGCTCTGGTGACTGGGTCATGACTGTGATGGGAAGCATTGATGCAAGCCTTCCTGCAGTAGATTCGTTCTAGGACAGCAGGTTGTTATCAAAGAGGGCGTCTGGCCCTTCCTAGTTTCTGCTTCTCTCTCGCCAGGCGGGCTTTCTTGCACACACACCTGCCATGTGCTCCAGCCATGTGTCATCTGCCATGCTGTGACCCAGTAGGGGGCAGGGGGAGCTCACCACATGCTGTTGGGAAGTCCCATCCACCGGAATCCATCATGAACCAAAGAAACGTCTTTTCTTTATGAAGTACTCAGTCCTGTTATCACAACGTGAAACACAGCTAAACCACCGTGGAAGCCACCCTCCATCCTGTATGTGACCAAGGACAGCCCAAACTCAGGGCAAGGGAAACTCAGCTCCACCAAGCACAAAGGTATCAAGGAATCTGTGGATAATTTTTAAAACTCCCACATTGTGGTAAAATGAAACTCTGATTGAACAGGTTGGAGGAGGAGCCCCGAATTCTACATTCTTAACTCACTCTCAGGTGATGTCACTCCTGATGCCCAAGACCACAAAGGCATCCAGGTGAAGCAAAGAACTGTGGCTCAGACAGCCTCTTTGCAATTCCATCGCCTACAAAAACGACACCCTCTGTCATCATGAAATTGTCCAACTTCAAAATCACATTTCTCCTGAAAGGCCAGAGCAGTGAAGGGAAAGATGGGGCTACCTTGCTCATACATGAGGATTCACTGTAATGGAGACAGACAATGGAAGGGGGATTCAGAAAACCTCTCTAGCCTTCCAGTTCTGGAAGCTCTCAGAAGCATAAAATATCAGCCACCAATGTGGGCTGTTATTAAGGATTGTGCAAGTGTCTTCATGTGACTGTAACCCCTGACTGAAATACTTGTAACATCAGCATGGTACAGGAAAGCAAGAAACAGACCAGAGCCTCATAAAACCAAGGCTTCTACGCACACTGCTGGCTTGCAGGTTGGGACATTAAAGGTATTGTGTCTGGCTGGGCAAGGTGGCTCACACCTGTAATCCCAGTTACTTGGGAGGCAGAGATCAGGAATATCTGGGTTGGAGGCCAGCCCATGCAAAAAGTTTGAAACACCCCATTTCAACCAATGAAGCTGGGTGTAGTATGCACCTGTGGTCCCAGCTACACAGGAATCCTAAGTAGAAAGATGGTGGTCCATGCCAGCCCGAGCAAAACCACCTTATTTGAAAAATAACTAAAGCAAAAAGGGCAGGTGAAGTGGCTCAAGTGTTAGAACACCTGCCTAGCAAAGGCAAAGCCCTGAGTTCAAACCCCAGTGCCACCAAATACAAAAACACTTTCCCTATTTAACAGTCTGGATTGAAATTTGCTTTCAAATACAGCATAAAACTGTATCATGTGTATTTTCATCGCCATGGTTCCTAGGTCAGAATGTCCAGGGTTAAAGTGGACGTCAGTACGTTTAACTGTACCGACAAGAACGTACGACAGTCATCGCTCACTCAAGACAAACCCCACGACCATCAGCCGTTACTCGTGTTTCCTCCCGCCCCTCCCAGCCCCAGGGAGCCACCGACCCACCTTCAGTCTCTGCAGATTGGCCTACTCTGGACGTTTCATGTATGTGGCATCACAGGTGGCCTTTTGGGTCTTCCACTTAGCACATTTTAAAAACTGTGGTAAAATACACTTGACATAAATTTTAACTCTTTGAAGGTGGCATTAGGCACACTCACATTGTTAAGCAACCATCTCCACCACGGGTCTCCATACAGTTTTCATTTTCCTGGTCTGAAATGTGGTATCCAAGCATGGATCCACACTTCATTCCTCTTCATGGCCGAGTAATACTCCACTAGGTGAACAGACCCCATTTTGTTCTTCACTTCTTCAGCTGATGGGCATTTGGGTTGTACCCACTTTGGTTATCATGAACAACATTGCCATAAACACTCACCTCTGACACCAGTTTTCACTTCTGTAGGAGACGAGTTGCTGTGTCACCTGCTAACTGTTTTACTGAAGAATGACTGGACTGTTTTCCAAGGTGGCCACCCCATTTTACATTCCCTCTGGGGGATTCCAAGCTCTCTACTCTCACTGCCCTCTTGGTGAGAGCCAAATTGCCAGGTGTGGTGTGGCATCTCTCTGTGGTTTTCCCTAAAGACTAATGACCCTGAGACCTTTTTGGGAAAACTGGCTATTTGTGAACCTTTGGAGAAATGTCTGTTTAAATCTTTTACTCTGTTTCAGTTGGGCTACTTGTCTTTTTTTCTGTTGAGTTGTGAGTGTTCCAGATATGAGTCCTTGTCAGAAACCTGATTTGTGAATACTCTCTCTCATTCTGTAGGCTGTCTTTTCACTTTCTTAACACTTTCTTTTGAAGCACAGTTGTTATTTTGATCAGATCCAATTACCATGTTTACTTTGGCTGCTTGTGCTTTTGTGTCATTCAAGGTTACACATTCTACTGTTAGGTTTTCTTTTCAGAATTTTAGAGTCTGAGCACTCTTTGGATCTTTGGCCTGTTTTGAGCTCGTTTGGTATATGCTGTGAGGTAGGGCTGAAACTCACTCTGGCTATCCAGCCTGTGGTTCTGACTCATCAGCAGGATGTACAGAGATGGCCTTCCTTTGGTTTCCCAGTGGTGTGAATCTCCACCGGCTGAATTCTGCTGTGACGCACTCAGGACTGGTCTGGAATTACGAGCTGCTTTATTATGAGCTATTTGAAAATGACTTCTATAAGGAAGAGCTATTCCATCATGAATTATTGTGTGTCAGTAACTACAATCAGGACTCCTGCCCTCACAGGGCTTGCGTTCCATCCTAGCGGGGAGAACGAGACAAAAAGCACAACAGGGAGGTAATTACAGAATGAGTTAAAAGGTTGTAAGTGCTATGGGGGAAACCAGAGCAGAGCAAAGCAAAGGGCCGGAGGCAGGGGATGGGGTAGAGTTTACAAATTTCCAATAGAAGGTCAGAGTGCCATCTGAGTAAAAACTTGGGGGGTAACAAAATACCATAGGCTGGGTGGCTTACATTCAACAAAAATTTGTGCTTACAGTTGTGGAGGCTGTGAAGTCCACCGTTAAGGCACCAGCAGATGCACGTGGTGAGGGCCTGTGCCCCACAGACAGCACCGTTTGTGGCGCAGGGTGGAAGGGACAGAAGGTGTCTCGGGTCTCTTTTATAAGGGCCCTGATCCCACGCATCAAACATGCACCCCATGACCTCATCACCTCCCAAAGGGAGAATTGTGGGGTACACAACATTCAGGCTTCAGCACCATCCCACATCATGAGCAAGTCAAAATGAAACAAAAACAATCTTTGAATTCCTTGACGTCACCATCTTTTTAGTCAATCTTAAATGCCTTGTGTTTTAAATGACCGCTTGTTAACCAGTAAATTCAACGTTTCACCTCTTAAAGATTCCTGTTAACCTATTAATGATTCATTCTGATATTTTAGAACAGAATTAACTGTGAAACCAAAGGCCAGCTGCACTTGCTGCAATTTGTCAACAGAGTAGGTGAGCACTCAGCCTTGTGGGATAAGACAACAGAAAAAAATGAACGCTGCAGAGTTTTAGTAATGAAAAAAACCGACCCTTATAAGTTTATTAACAAAATTCACATAAATGATAATTGTACAGCTCCTCTGTAGATGTCACCTGTTAAGCGTGGACAAACTAGAATCGCTCTGACAGGTAGATGGCCGCACTGCATCCAGCCTGGATGATATTCTTCAACACGGTGTAGGCTGGGGCCTGGCAAACAACAGTACAAGGCCGGGTGCTGCATTACACCTCAGCACCATGGTCCATCACCAGGACCCAAAACACCCATATTCTACATTCACTTTCAGCTGTAAGCCTCGAGGCTGGTAAGGCAGGCCCGGGCTTCTCTGGGTAAGAAGACCTGAGAAACCATCTGTTGACTTGCGCACAAGCTGTTCCAAAGACTGGGATGCACCTGTCCCATCCAAAGCCCTACACTGGGGCTTCTCCCACAAGGGACAGCCAGCTCCCGGGGAGGGGTGAGGATGAGGCTGGACAGGATTCCCACTGTGCTCTGGCTGCTTTTTGTCACGTGACTAGCTTCCTTCCCTCTGGCCTCACTTTACTGTATTTTTCTAAGGCACCCCAAAGCACAAGTAACAGTAGGTCCCTACCAGCTCCGCATCATGGTCAAGGCCTATGTCATGGTGCTCGAGCTCTTCATCTCGAAACTTCTTTATCACCTGGTAAACAAAAGATGGAGGTAAGTCCATGTGATGTCACTGTCTGAGGCAAGAGGAGGCCCGCTCTTTCCACAAAGGGCTGTGGGGACTGTACAGTCCCCACTAGGACTAAAGCACTCCCTCGCTACGACCCCCGCAAACCATGGCCGTCGCTGGGTCCCAATAAAACTTTGTTTACAGAAATGGGGCAGCCACAGGCAAGAGTTTGCCAACTTCTGATTTAGACTTGAAAAACTACATAGTTCCCTTAGAACCAGGTGTGGTGGTATGTGTCTGGGGTCCCAGCTACCTGGGAGGATCACATGAGCCCAGGAGCTTGAAGCCAGCGCAGGCAACACAGTGAGACTCCGTCTCAAAAATCAAAACCACGACAGTAAGAGAGGCACTGTGGACAATTATCTCAGGACCCCTCTCACTTCAGTCATTTAATCTACGGGGCTCAGCATCCGCTCGGAATCAGCCAGGGTACAGAAGGGGAGCACACAGGCAGGCCTGAGTTCAGGAGACATGGGTTCTGGTCCCTGCTCTGCCCAAGCCATGTGGACAGCGCAGGTGGTTTCACCTGTCTGGTTCAGACTGTGGCCTAGGTGTGTTGGCCCTGCCTTCCCCTAACACCCTTCTCCTCCTGACACAGGCCCCTCCACCTTCCTCCCATCATTAAAGTCCATTACCTGCAGCAGCTCCTTGTACTTCCCGGGCTCCTCCTCCATCAGCGTCCTGATCTGGTTGTTATAGTGATTTGCTATGGACTCTTCCACCGCCACGGTGCAGGCCATGGCACCCTCCTTCCCTAACAGCGCGGTTCCTGCCCCTGCAATGGTCAGACCCACAGGGTAGAGCAAGAGCTGGTACAGTGCTCGGGAGACTACGAGGCCAAGTTTATCATCCTGACATTTGGGGCTGTGCTGCGCTTCATGGAACATTTAATAGTATCCCTGACAGCACCAGCTAAGCTGTGACCACTGAAAATGTCTTTAGTTCATCCCCGTGTCCTCCGGGACAGACACAGCTGAAGGTAGCACCAGATTCCCAGTGAAACTTGAATCTCAGTAAGAACGCTCTTCTCTTCCAACTCTCACACTCACACTCACTCTCTCTCTCTTTCTCTCTCTCTGTAATTTTGTGACTCGTGGTCTTGCTGTGTAGCCTATCCTGGCCTCAGATCCTGCTGCCTCTGACTCCCCAGGCCTGTGCTGGAATTAAAGGTGTGTACCAGCACACCTGGCTCACTGAGCTTTGAACCTTCTGTTTAAAGCCAAGAGGAAGTCTGCATGTGGGCTGTCTCTGACATAGGCCAGTTGCTCTTCTCTCTTTTTAAAAGCACAATAGATCTCAGGGTTAGAACCTGTGGCAAGGAACAGGATCTGGCTACAGTTGAATTACTCTGGCTTCCCTCTATTATGTTGTTTTCATTGTACTTTCTGTTTACAAAAGTACTGATTCTATCTTCAAGAAATTAAGCAACAAAAAAGAAAGAAAGAAACTTAACGGGTTTAATTTGCCTTTAGGAAAACAGTACGTGAATAAAAGGGGTTGTTCAAGGAGGAGGAGGAGGAATTCAAACACAGCACCCCATTCCCTGAGCCCGAGGGAACTCTGGGCAGACACGTACCCAATGCGAAGCCCACCACGTTCCAAAGGGGCATCAGAACCGTGGGCCGAGCCCGGAAGGCGACCATCAACTCATTGAACTTTTTCAAGTGCTCCTTTTCTTGATCCCACATTTTCTGTAAGGAACACACAAATAAAAAGACAGGCAGGAGTTGCAGAGGCCTCCTGCTGCTCCCAGAGGAGGCTGTGTGACCCATCCCTGGTACAGAGGGAGTGAAATGGAGACAGAGCAAATGACAAGAACCACCACCTCCCCCAAAACATCAACGAAGAAAACGTCAGACTGTGAAGAGTCTCTGACACCAAGGTTCGCTATCAAGAGCAGGCAGAACCGCCACCTCGTGTCCCACAGAAGTGCCCACCCAATGCCAGGTCCCACGCATGAGCCAGGAGATGGCTAGCCTGCTCCAGATGGGAGGACAGAGCGGCAGGGTGCAGCTCCCTCCCACAGCGCTGTGCAGGGGTGCTCTGCCCTCACATCTCAGGGGACAGCAGCCACCACTTAGACCTTCCTAAGCATCAGGTGCTGTCAAATGACTTCACATGACAACTCGTTCGAGCCACACAACAGCTGCATGGGGACAGCTGCCATCGCCCCAAGTGAGGAGGAAGTGACATAGGACTCTGAGCCCGCGTCAGCCCTCTGGAGCTACAGGTTTGAGCGGCCACAGTCTAAAATAATGGGAAAGTCACGTGTACTGAAAGAGTACAGGATTTCTCCTTGTCGTTATGCCCTGAACTAGAGTACGCCAGGGAGGTCCACAGCATTTACATGGCATAGCTACCACAGTCATCCAGGGAAGAGTTCCGCACAGAGGGCGCGTGGGTCACAGTACACAAGCGGACTGAGCACCGGGGGTCTGTGCCATGTGGGGATCGGGGACACGGAGGGCGGCTGTATGACCTCCCTGCATACAGACGTGGGACGAGGCGCTCTACGCGAGCTCATTTATCCCTGACCACACCCATGCAGTCAGTCCTTATTGGGTCACTTTGCAGACAGGGAAATGGGGAGCCAGCGAGGTTGTGTGACATCCTCAAGGCCCCAGAGGTAGGAGGAGAGAAAGCTGGACTGGGAACTCAGATCCCGTGACTTCTGTGGAGTCCATCAACACCAGTTCTGACCAGAAAGTGCGAACACCACAGACACACTGTGTGCCTATCTGTGCTTGTCTGTAAAATAAAGCTCTCTGCTCTTTTGGGAGCAAGGCTCCCACTCCAATGAGAATGCAGACTGAGTGCGACCGCTGTAGCCCTCAGACCCCCAGGCCAGAGGGGCACAGGTGCCCACCTGAATGATGGGCCCGACGCTGCTCCGGCCCAGCACAGCCATCTGCCCTGCGTAGATGCGGTTAGCTCCGTATTCACCTGCATGGTCCACCCGGATTATCCGATCCACAATGGCTCGATTGAGCCCGTCCAAGGTCATCCCCGAGCTGCAAGATCGGACACTGACTCCTCTTCCATACACTGCAATGCAAGTGTTAGCTCTCCATTACACTCAGGTCAAATTGAGATGTTGCTTTTCACAGACAGAGGAAGGGGCTTCAGAACAAGGTATGAATGAGTTCTCAAGGGCCACAATGCCACAGTGTGTCCTTTTTAAACTGCAGTGTTAAACACAGAAGAGTTTACCTAAAGATTTGAGTTCCTGGCTTCACTTTAAATGTATGGAGACCTGGAGGCTGGGTGCAGTGGCTCACACAGGTAATCCCAGCTACTCGGGAGGCGGAGATCAGGAGAATTGCAGTTTGAGGCCGCCTAGGCAAAATGTTAGTGAGAACCCATTTCAATCAGTAAGCTGGGCATGGTGGTTCATTCCTGTCATCCCAGCCAGGAGGAAGGCTACAGGTAAGAGGATCATGGTTGGAGGCCAGCCATGGGCAAAAACTTGAGACCATATTTGAAAAATAACTGAAGCAAAAAGGGCGGGGGAGTGGCTCAAATGGTAGAGCACTTGCCTAGCAAGCACAAGGCCCTGAGCTCAAATCTCAGTACTGCCAAAAGGAAAACAAAACATAACACAGTAGCTTCTTCACTATACACTGTCTAGATTCAGCACTCAAAAATGACTGGGGGGTGGAATAGGTATCATCATATTTGTCATTTCTATCTTTTCACAATCTGGGCAAGTTGTCTTTGTAGAGCACGAGACAGGCCACAGAGAGGTATGGGCCTACACTGAGGGAATGCGGGTCCCTGGGTGTGCAGGTACAAATCACACTTGCTACAAACAATAAAGGACCATGTGGAATTAGAAAAAAAAAAAAACAGGAGGAGGGTTGTGTGTCCAGTCTCTAACGTGAATCTTAGATAGATCACAATACATATTTCTTACATATAAAATTGTCAACAATCAAGCCATTTCTTTTTGAAGTGAAAACATAAAAGTAATAAAACTTTTCTTACTTGAATTACCCTGACAAGAAAATGAGACACAGCAAACAAAGTAACTACAGAAGTAAGTGAGTGGTTCTTATTTACTGGCTCATGGGCTCAGCAGGGGTATACTAAAATTCACATCAACAACTCTGTGAGCCAGGTGTGGTGGCTCACATCTGTAATCCCAACACTGTCTACAATCTCAGCACTCAGGATGTAGAGGCAGGAGGATCAAGAGTCCAAGGTCAGCCGGGGCTACATAATGAGACCCTGTCTCAAAAAAAACAAGGGCTGGGGAGGTAGCTAGGTTGGTAGAATGCTTGCTTAGCATGCAGTGAGGCCCTAGGTTCAATCCCCAGCACCACAGGGTGTGGGGAGGGGGATGAGGGACAACATTGTGAGTTTCAACTGTGTGGTCGCACACTATAAAATAAAACCAGGGCCCAGTGCTAGAAGCTCTCAATGCTTTATATCCACGTTTTCCACTGTGTGAAACATGCCAATGGTGGTCCCTGGGAGATTTAAGTAGCATATGGGGACACTTTAAGCAGCTCTGGATGTTCATTAAGTTATAATCCTGTAGTAAGAGTTACTTTAAAAAATTCTCTTCTGAAGCATTTGTTCATCAAGGAAAATATCTCCATTTACAGCTGGTATGTCCTAAATATTTGCTCAATACTTGCTAATCTCCTAATCCCTCCCTTTTTTTAACAGAGAGAATGGTCTCAGGTTTACACTTTTGCAAGCAACAGAATCTAATACAATGTCATAACTTTTGCTTTCAGTGTATTTTTTTTTTTAATGCTCATTCATTCGGGCAGGCAAAACTGCCTCTCCATTTACCATAAGGCTTTAGTTTCCATGAAATTATTTAATTTTAAAATAGATCAGAGTTATACAAAAAAGCACATGAAACAAGGTGCGTTGCTAGAAGGCAAAACTCCTGGAGGCGGCACAGAAGATTTAACCTTGAGGAAACGACCTCGATTTTCCGAGACGGCTCAGGCGACAAGAGGACGTAGGAGGAGCCAGGACCCAACCCCGTTCTCTCCACTCCAAATTCGGTGCTTCCCTCCTCTACCCCGGAGTCCCCCAAACTTTAAGGTGCACAGGATCACTGGGGGGACTTAGCAAAGCACGGGTTAGCACCACATAGCGGGGCGGAGCCCGGGATCTGCACGTCTAACAAGATCTCGGGGAGAAAGACACTGAGCAGACTACGACACTTCCCCAGTCACCCACTGTCCTCGGCCGGGAACGCCAGCCACACCTGCAGTGACGTCAATGGCACCGGTGTGCAATTAACGTCATCTCCCAACGCTCCAACCCTGACAGGTCGCAATCAGCGTCACCCCCCAAATCACCCCCTTCCCGCTCGTCACTCTCGCGATTGTATTACGAGCCCCGCCCCCGCGACTTACGTCGACGAAGTCGAGAGCCGTCGCACGCCTGTGACGTACATGAACATCTACCCCGTGACCTCTAGACCCAAGCCTCAAATGAAAAATTCCCGGGCTCCCCGGCGTCGCGCAGGATTACGACCGCGAGTCGCCTTTTACCTGAGAGGGGCCACCTGGCGCTCGTGCGCAGCTGCCACAGGGAGGCAGCCGCTACTGCCCCGGACCAACTCATTGCCAGGTCAACAAAGCAGCCACTCTTACGCGCAGCGGGCCAACCTGACTCTTGGTGCAGGATGATGACGCAACAGACGTAAACCGCTGCTTGCGCCAGTGGAAATGCCTTCTAGGCCCTCGCTTCCATGCGATTGGCCGAAATTGACGAATACACATATTCCATTGGCTGAAGGCCCTATCCGTCATTCGGGAGACCAGTGGCGGTAAAGGAGCCTTGGGTTGCTATAGAGATTAGAATGCTAAATTGGTCTATAAATGATCCAGACGGGGTCAGGCTTTCTCACCTAAGTTCCTGGCGTAGAGGACCATGAGAAAGTTATTAGCAGAGCCGTTGTATTTTCTGCCTTGCTTACATCGAAGATTTTTTTTTAAATTACCGTACATTCTCTCAAAAACAGTAGAGATTATGGCTGGAGGTGTGGCTCAGGCAGTAGAGCGCCTGGTTAGCAATTATGAAGCCCCGAGTTCAAACGCCAGAGCCGCCAGAAAAACCAAACAAAAAACCCAGAACACTGTATACTCTTTAGTGGATCTGACAGCTGACTTTAAATTGTTTTCGAGTCCTGTTTTCTAGAGAATATATATTGCTCTTTGTACCTATTTTACTGTCGTGACTGTCCCTAATACTGTAAAAATCGGTTGCTCTTTTTTGTTTTGAGAAGGAAAATTTAGCAACAAAGACTTTTAAGCGCACATCCATTATTACGGCACTGTTTCTAGGGGTCTAACCAACAGAGTAATTTTCAAATAATAGGTGTATACGAGGGCAGGAAAAAATCGAGAGATGCATGCCTGCAAGTACTAAGGAGACGCTTAGCATTGGTAACACGGGAGGGCGGGATTTTGCGAAGGGAGCTTTCACTTCACAACCTTGGACTCTTTGTGTATTTTCCAAGTTTACCATAAAATATTTTAGCACACACTAATGCTGTAAAATAAATTTGTTTCAAGTATAAGGCTACAATTTTCAAATCAACACATTACCAATAACTTAAAACTATGACCAATCCAAATACTTAATATTCGTGAATTACGATGATGTAAAATTCTCATGTAAAGCTACTTAAGAGTATAAACGTGGCTTACCAAAGCCTTAACTTTTGCACAATCCCACCTCTAGGTCTCTGTCTTGAAGAAAAAAAGGTCGACAAATATTTGATTTCCCACTTATTTATTGGGAAACTGGAAATAAGATACTAAGCAACAGGGGTCATTATAAACTATGATTCACCTGAATACTATTATGTAACCCACAGAAATTTATTTAAAGAAGTCTTTTTTTAAGACAGGGTTTTGCTGAACTTGAACTCAAAAGCACAATCCTCCTGCCGAAGCTTCCCAAGTGCTGGGAGACAGGTGTGTCCCACCACACTGGCTATAAAGGACTTTTGATAACACAAGAAAACACCTAAGTGAAGAAGAAGTGAGCATGCTAAATTTTTCTTTTTTCCCATCCTTCTTCCCTATTTTGCCAAGCAATTTTAAAGCAATTTTGCCAAGATTAACAGTGGCTGTCTGTACATGGTACACATGACTGATTTTTTTTCTCTGTAGTGTTCAACGTTCTCCAAACTTTCTATGGTAAGCAAGTATTTTTTTTTAGTGAGAAAGCAAAATTTCAAAAAGAAAAAGCATACTATTCCCTAATTCAAATTTAGGTATTATTTTTCTATTTTAAAGTTAATAAGGGAATTTTGTCTCAAGAGGTGAAGACATTTGTACAAAATCACACAATTAGGCACGTCATGGTGTCTCTCCGTCCCAAGCATTCTGTGCACAGGACAAGAAACATGCCACATGCAAGTCACTATGAAAGCCCTACCCTGTAAAGTGAAGATACATCACAAGTTCTCACTTCCCAAGAGTCAGACCTTGTAGTGCCACCCTGAAAAACTTCCTTTGTTCTCTAAATACTTAACACAAGTGGGTAGGTGCAGTCAGATATGTGGCTGCAGGAATTCACTTTGCCAACTTGAGTTCATGTAACCTAGGGCTGGTGGTGTGGCTCAAGTGGTAGAGCGCCTGCCTAGCAAGTGCAAGGCCCTGAGTTCAAATCCCAGAGCCACCAAAAAAAAGTTATTGCAAACTAGGGACTTGCATGATTGGATTCTCCGCCTTGCTAGGAGAACATTTGTGGCTGCAAGAACCTTATATACATCTGCCTTAAGAACAACAAGGGCCCACAGAAGAATGGGACAAAACAGGAATGCTTGTAAGAACTAAAAATGCCAGCTTCTAGGGCTAGGCTTGTGGCTCAAGAAGCATGGCGCTTATCCCAGCACCAACCAAAAAAATAATCCTCCAGCTTCTAGTGTTTATGAAAGGGTAAAGGGGAGGACAAAGAATCCAAGTGTCCATTAGTGGTCACATGGCTACAGGAAGTTTACATCAAATGCAGTTTACGCTACGCAGTAAAAAGAATGACGTTGCTGCTTTGGAGGGAAGATCTTCAGGACATCAGGGAGAAAGAGTTCAGAAATGTCACGACATACACCACAGATACAGATCTTGAATATGTTACAGTCTCTGGGAGAGAAAAAAACACCATGAACAGTGGCTTTTTCTGGGAGAGCCATAGGAACGCCTGAAATGTCTTCATGTCTTTTATAAAACACACAAATATGCTTTCCCTTGGCTTCAGCAGAGCTGGAGTCTAGAAAGTGAGGGAGATGACCAAACTCTTCTCAAAGGTGTTTGGTTGCGAGAAAAGCAGTCAAAAACCGTTCAAGTGCTGATGGAATGGCTCAAGTGGTAGAGTGCCTGCCTCGCAAGTGTGAGGCCCCGAGTTCAAACCCCAGGGCCACCAAAAAATAAAGACTGTTATGGCCGTGTGAATGATAGGCCTTTCTGTGGACACCCCTTTCATTATTATTTGTTTTTATAGCGCTGGTGTTTTGAACTCAGGGCCTCACACTTGCTAGGCAGGTGCTCTACCACTTGAGCCACTGCACCAGCCCTTTTTTGTGATAGGATTTTTCGAGATAGGGTCTTAAGAACTATTTGCCCAGGCTGGCTTAAACCGTGAATCTCCTGATCTCTGCCTCCTGAGTAGCTAGGATTACAGGTGTGAGCCATTGGCACCCAGCTTTATTTTCCTTTTAAACAAGCTAAGATGTTGGGGGCTGGGGCAATTTGACTCCCTGATTGACAGTTGTTAGAGCCTTCCCTGATGTCCAGGCTGTCTTGGGCAGAGGGCCATCAGCTAAATCGTCCTCATGGCAGCTCTGGCTGCTTTGAATACTCCACAGAAACCTTGAGGAAGCTGCATGACAACCACAGCTGCTTGCTACTGAAGCAGTTCTAGCTCCAGAAAGCACCATCCCAGCCACGACTGTTACCGACAGTGTGGACCCAGCTTTCTGCCATTATGAATGTTGGTCAATCTAGATGGACCCTGCAGCACCCAGACCAGAGTGGGAGCTCTTTCCCTGGTGGTCCAGCAGAAGGCCTGCTGTGCATGAAGGACTGCTGTGATCGGTCCAAGGATGGCCCTTTATTTGCATGAGGGATTGTGCTGTGATTGGTACAACCAGACCTTCATGGAAACTCATGATTCGTGCAGACACCTTTGCCACACTCCCTTCCTGGCTATATAGGCAGACTGTTTGGCTCAGTTCATGAGGCAGCCAGGAGACACCCATGTGTGCTGGCTTGTCACATTAGACCCAAAAAAAGGTTTTCCTCAAGTGGCCTTTTCTTGCCTACTTTCAATCCTTATTATTAATAGAACATGCTAACCTGGTAACACAAAGAAAGAACGGCAGAGATGGCAGCACAGTGGAGCAGTAGCAGTGGCAGAGATGGCAGGCTAGGCACAATGACAGAGCAGAGGTGACAGAGACAAGGGCTGTGAGTTGCTGAATACAAGAAACTTTGGGCTCTGGTCACCCAAATCATTCTAGAGAGCTGCCAGGCCTTAAGGGCAAAAGGTCTCAGACACCCTGGGCCTGAGAGGTGACACTAACCCTGTCAAGACATCCGAAGCCTCCGTGAGAGCTGTCAGATGAGAAGGCACTGCAGGCTGCTACTTGCTGCTGTCTGCTGCTGGAAGCTGAGGATTACAACAGCGGCCAGGTACTCCATGCTGGTGAGCAAAGCACAGAGCCACAAGCCTCCAGCCACAAGTCTCTGGCTTCTAAAACCTGGAACGGTTGGCCTCTAGCTCTCCCGGCTTAGAGCTGTCTGTCTCTGGGTCTGTCAGTCTAGTCCATAAGCCTTGGGCACTCAAGCGGCCCAGCACTGCCAGCACTGGAAGCACGCCTCACCTGCCCGTGGTTCCTGTCAGGGTAGGGAGGACCCCAACCGGGTGATGGCAACAAAAGCACTCATGTGCTGATTTTACCCCATACTTCCTTCACCTCTCTAGTTTTTGGCAACAAGCAGAGAACTTCATAAACTGAGTTTTCCATGATCACGTGACTGCTGACCAGAAGCTCAATTATACACAATGACATCTCAAGACTCAAGATGCTGTTTAATCAGTAGTTTCAGCGCTCATTTGTTAAGAGCTGCACTTTAAAAATTACACAGACATCACCTGAAGTTATTAAGATTATCAAAACATAAAAACATTCAAGAGACGTGGAAATGAGCAGCATTTAACTAAAACTTGCACACTAAGTAGCATATTTCAGTATCAGATTTGTAACAGGGAAAGAAAACAGCAATGATTTTCATTTTAGCCAACACACACACACACACACACACACACACACACACACACACATATAAAACGGGACGCTCAGAAGCCCGGGGAAATAGAAAACGGGACTGCTCAGAAGCCCGGGGAAGGCAACAGTATTGTGTGTGTAAAGGCACTGGGCAAATATGCCGGCAATTCGAATTTGTTTTTTAAGTTTTTTTTAGTTTTTAGGTGAAGATGGAATGGTCTTTGGGTTACACAAAATCCTGCAATATCAGTTACTAGATTTAGACACTCACAGACCTTAACAAGGTAGGAAAAATCTCACAGGTATGAAAATCCCATGTTAATCCACCTTGTGGGAGAGCAAGAAAATGGTTGGGGGGGCTGGGGTGGAACTCAGTGGTAGAGAAGACCTGGGTTCCACCCTAGTCATACAAATGCACACTGCACACTTACTGCACACACACGTTGCACACACGCATACACACTGTACACACGCACGCTGCACAGACACTGCACACACACACAACAAAGAATCAGGAATACAAAAATGTAGAATCCACGACGAGCTTGCTTTGCCCCCAGAGCAAATTACTCATGAGTGACCAAGCAATGGAGAATTATACTTAGAAGTTTTAGAAAACTTCATCCAACTTCAAATCCCAGGGAAGGTTTGAAGCCAGTGAAAACAGCAAAGAAAGAAAGATGGGTGTGGTCCGTTACAAACTACAGTTCTTGGGGAGACTTACAAAATATTAAAATGAAATCAGATTACATTAAACAATAACTTAGGCTTCTGTTAAGAGTTCAGAGCATCACTTTGGGGTACACTGCAGGAGGTATGTATTATGTAACGGAAATCTGGAGCTACTGTTTTTGTACTGCTTTGTAAATCAAGGCACACACATTAACAACTGTAAGCACAGGAAAACAAACAGTAGCCCTGAAAAACATGGCAGTGTGTATTTACACGCTACATGGTTCGCTCTCACAGGCTGGTCTGATGAGCAGGTGAGCTGTAATCCACTTCCCAAAACACGCATGCAAAGGAAACCCCAGACTCCCCCAGAGCTGCAGCACACAACGCCCTTTCCTCTGAAATGTTAAGTGTCTTTGAAAACAGAGAGCTTGGTGGGCAGGGCAAAGGCACTTGGAAGACAGACACACTCTGCCTTGGACTTTTGAGGGTACAGGGTCCTCTGCTGAGTCTCAGAACCTGGGGCCAGACGGAACTCAAGGCTGTGGACAGCTGGTCTGCTAAAGGCCACTTTCCCTGAGAACAAGTAAGGCCGAAGAAAATGCCCAGGAAGCTAAGAGAGCGAGGCTGCCGGCCTGTCATGGGGTTGATGGAGGACCCTAAGGGTGGGACAGCTACATGCAGCACTGCCATGTCACTGAAATGATACTTGACCCTCTCCACATCCGTGTCACCTGACAACCCAAGGACTTGTCTTCATTACAAAAACTATACATGAGACTTCATTTGAAGTCACTACAGCCACTTGAGGGTCACTCAGGCTAAGTCCTAAAGACAGGTTCAAAAGGAACCAGCCAGCTTCAGGGACAGATGGCCTCTGGTTAACTTTGAAAGACAACACAGACAAGTTTTAAAAAACACAGAAGTCTAAAACACCAATGAAGCAGAAAAAAATAAATACAAGGCTCTCCTCCTCACTTTTTGCTGTGAAAGCTTGGACAGTGTCAGCTGTTTTCCAGTAGAGCCATCACCAAGCCGTTGGTCTCCAGGTAAAAACTTGGGTTTCAGCCCGTTTTCCTAAGTCACTAAGAGCCCTTCGAGGGCTGGGTTACATAAACATGGCCAGTCGCTACCAGGAAAGCCAAAACTCCAGAAAAATATATTTAAAATTTCCACTCAAAACCTAGGTGGACTCTGTCTGCTTGACAGAGCCCTAGGCTGCTGAGAAGTGTCACACAGCGGGGTCTTCACCATCAGGCAACTTGGTTCCTTGTGTCCTTCTGGGCTTCTGTTAGTTTCTGGATCAGATAGCGCTTGTCACGACTTTCCTAAAAAGAGCAACGAAGTATATTTCAACCGCTTAGCAACAAGAAATAACTTCTATGTAATGGGTTCCAGCTCAGACTCAGGGCTAAGCACCGAATCATCAGGCATGGCAGTGACTTCTGGTCTGGTCTCTCTCTCTTTCTGTGTCCTCTCTACAATCCTTTTGTCCACAAGCTGCCACTGACCTTTTGAATTTTTTAGAAATGTAAGTCTGAGCTGGGTGTTGTGGCTCACACCTACAATCCTAGCTACTTGAGAGGTACAGATTGGGCGGCTCACAGTTCAAGGCCAGACTAGACCAACAGTCTGTGAGATCCCATCTTAAGCAACAAGTCAGATGTGATGGCACATGCCTGTCATCCCAGCTACAAGGGAGATGTAAGTAGGAGGACTGTGGTCTAGGCAAAATCATGAAACCCTATCTGAAAAATAACTAAAGCAAAAAGGGCTGGAGACATGGGTCAAGTGGAGGGATGAGGCCCTGATTCAAACTCCAGTACTACCAAAAAAAGAAAGAAATGTATGTCTCACTTCTACCTACCCTCTCCATCCCACTTGGAACAAAGCCTCCACTTCTTCCCAGACTCCCCAGGCTGCGCTGACTGGCTGACGTCATAGCACCATCTTGCCTCTCTCCATCATTCACAGCCCTGAAGCCCCATGGCCACCTTCTTCCTGTCCCCCAGAAGCACCCAGCTCATGGCATCCTTGAGCCCCCTGAATTTGACTCTCATCCTGATAAGGCTCTGCGAGAACTGGCTCCTGTCTCACCCCTCAGCCTTGGTGTCAGCTCCTTCAACAGGCCACCTGCAGCACAGTCTGTAGCAGCCATGGCCCACTCATCACTCTAAACGCCTCACTCTGAATGTCAACAGAACTGATGGCTCAAGAGGATGAATGAAGCAGGGTTCGGGGAAGAGGTGGTGAGTGGGGTTGCAGCAAGTCCATCCCTCCCTGGGAAAAGTGCCACTTTCCATTCGGTGTCCTGGTTAATGTCCCCAGCTGTGACCCTTAGGCCTGCACTTCCTTACCAGGGACAGCTGCTCTCGGAGCTGGTCAACCACCCGTTTGTGTGCTCCAGCCAGGGCGATGAAGTAGAACATGATGAGGCTGCAAGATATGGCAGACAGGTCACCAGTGAGTCAATGCTATTCAGAGCTACATGGAAACAACCCAACACATTTTATCTCAACGGGTTTTCTTTTGTTAGAGAAAAACGAAAAGCAGGGGCCAGACATGTAGTACACACCTGTAATTCTAGCTACCAAGGAAGTAGAGATGGGAGAACTGCAATTTGAGGCCAGCTTGGGCAAAAAAAGTTAGTGAGACCCTATCTCAAAATAGTGAGCACCTGTAAAAAGATAAATTGGGCATGGTGGTGTACACCTGTAATTCCAGCTACTCAAGGGGCAGAGATAGGAAGATCGAGGCAAAAGCATGAGACCCTACTTGAAAAATGACAGGATTGATGCATGGCTTCAGTGGTAGAGCGCCTGCCTAGCCAACACAAGGCCCTGAGTTCAAGCCCAAGTACTGCCAAAAAGAAAAGAAAAGAATGCAAGCTAACAAAATGCTTAGTCTCCCAAGCAGATGGCAAAGCACAGCAGCTTTACTTGGCAACGGCCCTAGGGTCTGTTTTGTGCTCTGCTTTTTACTGTAATATGAAAGGTGGGTGAAACTGGCCAGGCAGAATGACAGGGAAAGAGATGTCAGAAAGTCAGCTGGGCATGAGGACCTGGCTGAGGACTATCACTGTGGCCTCTCTGGCCTCAGCTTCTTCATCTGTGAAATGGGTATGAGTAAAACCCAGTGATGCAAGTCTGGGAGGATACAGTGTTTTGTTTTGTTTGGTGTCACTGGTGATGGAGCTCAGAGCCTTGAACTTGTCTGCTGGAGCCACACCCCCAGAACATAGGGTCTCTCACTTTTGCTGGGGCTGGCTTCAGACTGTGATCCTCCTACTTCCACCTTCCAAGTAGATGGGATTACATTCCTCCAACACCACACCCGGGGAAAATACAATTTTGATCAAAAGCGATCGACAACTGGCTCCCATCATCTGTGCAGACCTCGCTCTCAAGTGGGGTGCCTGAAGTTATCTTGGGGAGAGCGGCAAGTGAGAAAGGGTCAAAGAGCACACAAGCTCATCTAACAAGGGGGACTGTTTCCATCTAGTGTCCCACACAGAACTGAGAAAATGAGGGCCAAGTGAGCAGATCCTGGAATCACTGCTTTCAGCAGTATTCTGGAAGTCTCTGCAAGCCACAGGCCAAGGATGACAACCACCACCAGGAGGTGCCAGCCAAACCACAGCTGAATGAGCCAATGAGGATGGAGTGCTGGAACCCTGGCTATTGGGGACTCCCGGCTGGCTGGTGCATGGCTCCCCCAAGTCACTTTATCCTTGTCAACCAGGAACAGGAGTTCCTTTAACAAGTGGATCTGTAAACCCCTTTCTTGCCTCACAGTGGGGTTGTACTGGGGTAGTATCTACATCACAGGGCAGGTGTGATGATGGACCAGTAAGTTCAACCAATTCCAGCTATTCATGGCTTAAACCTGGAGCCCCGGGCTCAAGTGCATGGTCCCTGCCTGTTGTTCTCTGCCCGCTAATCCACCTTCTCTCCAAAGAGCGAGAGATCTGGGGACCCAGCAGTAACATTATGGATAACGCACATTTCTTGGGTTTGCTAAGCCAACCCAAGAAAGAGTGACTGCTGTTACGACCATTTTAGAGATGGAGCAGTGAGGCCCAGAGCAGCTAGTAACTTGTCAGGCACAGCAGATGATTTCCTGCTGTGGTTTGGATCCGCAATGTCCCCCAAAGGCCCATGTGTCCCCAGCCTGGGGTGCTGCTGGGAGCTGGTGGAACATTTAGGAGGTGCTGCCTAGTAGGGCTGTCTTCTTGAAGGGGATGCCCGCTCTCCTGCTTTTCTCTGTGCTTCCTGGCCACCACAACGTGAAAAGCCTCCACCACCATGAGCCCCGTGCCACCACAGGCCCATACATCAGGGATGGACAACCATGGACTGAACCTCTGATACCATGACCCAAAGTAAACCTTTCCTCCTGTTAAGATGCTCTGAGGTCTTTTGTCCCAGTAACAGGGAGCTGACTAACATACCCCATTTCCCACGGGGAGGTGCTATGCGCCTGGGTGGGAACCAGGAGGTTGTCACTCACCAGATGATCATGAAGAAGGGCACTGCGAACGCTTCTGATGTGATGCCGTGGACCAGGGACTGCAGCGAGCTAGGGAAGGTGCTCACCGTGCTGGGGATGACGTCCCATGTGGTGTTGAAGTTGGTGAACGGTCCACAGGCTTTGGAGGATGGGATGCTATAAGGACAGACCAAAGGCTCAGGGTGAGGCAGGAGCCTCACAATGTCTTGTTCACAACAGCCGAGAAGCCACCAGACCTCCTGGCCTTCAACGATATGCTAGTCAAAAATGTGTACCCCGAGCACGTCTGTGATCCCAGAACTCAGGAGGTGGAGGCGGAAGATCGAAAGTTCAAGGGCAGCTTGGGGTACCCTGCTTCAAAAGAGTTTGCCTTGAAATTTCATCAAGTCTGTAGGCCTCACTTCTAGTACAGGTCATTCACAACAGAGAAGAGAGTGAAATGACACTAGGAGAAAATAACCAGAAGACTCTAGAACATGGCAAAGAATCAAAGGTTAACAGGTGCAGGAAGCATCACAAGTGATCGTAATGGTGAGGCATGGGAGAGCATCATTTTAAATAAGCTACCTAAGTGGAGGAATCTGAGCGGGCGGAACTCGTCAGTCACATGTTCTCGTGTGATAATGCTGCTGAGGAGACACATGAGGACGAGGTCCTTGTCATAGGGAGCTTCAGGCTGAAATACTTAGGGGTGAACATCCTGGGGCTGATAACACACAATATATACACATATATATACAGACAGAAAAACAAATACAAATGATAACTGGGAGATCCAGTTGAAAATACACGTGTTTCATTGTTGCTATTTTTGTTTAACTTTTCTGTCAATTTGAAATTCTTGAAGACAGAAAGCAGAGAAAATAAAATAAGTTACGATGGAAGTGTTAAAAATTAAGACCTGAAAAGAACTAAGCTTACATCACACGGACCACATACAAGAGTCTTCACCGCAGCCCGATTGGTAGGGATAAAAACAAGTTCTGGAAACAATCCAAATGTAGTTTAAGGAACTGAGTGACCAACTTACGGCCCCTCATATGACAGGACATAAAGAATGGCTGCTGGAGAGGGGCAGAAGGAGACACTGAGGTGAGGAATAACAGCTCCCCGGGAAGCACAGTTATGAAGTAAATTTTGAATACTGCGTCATGTGAAGGCATTTCTTATTTTTAAAGAATGTAGCTGGGCATGGTGGCATATGCCTGTAATCAATCCCAGCACTTGAGAGGCTGAGGCAGGAAGAAGATTTAGGCTACCTAGTGAGCTGGAGGCCAGCTGGGCTACACAGTGAGACCTTGCCTCAAAAAAAGGGGGAGGGGCTGGGGAGTGACTCGAGTGGTAGAGAGCCTGCCCAGCAAGTGCAAGGCCCTGAGTTTAAACTCCAGAACCACTGAAAGAAAAAAAAAATCAAGCTAAAAATGTATTAAAAGAATAAGCGTTTTGTTACTAGCAATTTTTTTCTCTTTAAGTCATATCCCTCTGTACTGTCTGAATTTTTAACATATTACTACAATACAATAATCAATAAAAATAAAAAATCAAATGATTAAAAAATTTTAGATCAGGGATGGACTCAAAGCTTCAGGTTTTTAATTCAAGATGAGGAAATTCTCTGCCAGTTTAAGGCAGGGGTTGGTAAACCCAGGGCAAATGTGGCCACTGCCTGTTTTTCATAAAGTTTTATTGGAAGAGTTATGCCTGCTCACTTATATTGTGTCAAGTGAGTAACACTGGGAACACACCGTCTGCAAAGTCTCAGCTGCCTCTGCCTGCTCAGGAAAGGCTTGCTGCCTGTGGTGTGTGGCAGGACAGTGGGCCGTGGAACCAATGCTCCAACCTGCACCGTGCAAAGCACTCAGCCCTCCCCAAAGTCCACACGAGAGATCTGTTGCCTGCCATGACCGAATCATCTAGCACAGTGCTGGGCACACAGCACACTGGTTAGGAAACGTCTTCTAAGTGCAGGACGTCTTTAACAGAACTGGAAGGAACAGGGCAATTTTGTGCTGCTTGTGGCTTTGGCCCCATACTCCAGTCCTCTACAATGGCCATCCATTATTTGATAACCAGAAACAGACAAAGCAAAGGGGACTAGAGGAGAATCGTTTAGAAAAGGACTGGGGAGGTGGTGTGGTGTACACACCTGTAATCCCAACACTCAGAAGGCTGAGGCTAGAGGATCGCAGGTTTGAACCAGCTTGGGCAACACAGTGCGTTCCATGTGGCCCTATGCAAATGATAGCCACCTCTGTCCCAAGTCCCAGAAGTGAGGCAAGAGGCTCCAGCCTCCACAGGGACTCATTGAACCATGTTAGTCCTGGAGAATCCAAGACAGACTCACTGACCTGCTAGTGGCACCATGAGCACAGAAACAAGGCAGGCAGAGGAGCTGTTCGCACAGAAGAGGAAAGTGTCACTGCAAGGAAAGGACGAGGGGGAAAGGCCATATTTACCGTGACACGCTGATGGTCAGAGGGATTACTGCCAGACATAGCCCGATGAGCAACACCAACAGGAAGAAGAAGTTGGAGTTGGATGCTCTGAACTGCCTCGGGGAAGGTCTGCAGGTGTAAAGAAGACTCAGCTAAGGGAGAAAAAGAGAAAGACTAGCAGTGAGAGCAGGTCCCCAAGGCCATGTCCCCTACAGCAGGACGTCAGCTGAACCACCCTTTTGACAGTGTTGTCTAGCAATACAGGCCAAAATGAAAACTACTTAATCCAGACTCAGCTTTGGGGAATTCATGCTGATGAAATAATAGGAAAACTGGGCCGAGCACGTGAATGTGGGTGTTCACTGCTGCAGCTGTGGTTACAGGCAGCCTAGACAGCGAGAGAGAAATGGGTTTCCCTTAAAATACATCTGCAGAATGGAATACCACACAGCCCTAAGAAGGCGGAGAGAGCATTACCTCCCTGTGCAGCACTGTGAAGTGAGAAACGGTAGATTTCAGAACTCTATGGTATGAACTCATTTAAGTTTTTAAAAAAGAATTTATTCTTATGGCTGGGGGTATGACTCAAATGGTAGAGTGCTTTCCTAGCAAGCACAAGGTCCTGAGTTCAAATCCTAGAACCATACACACATACAAAAACAATTAATTGCCAAGAGTTGGTGGTTTAAACATATAATCCTAATTACTTGGGAAGATCAGAGTTTGAGGACAGTTCAGACAGAAAGTTCACGAGACCCCATCTCAACCAGTAGCTGATCGTAGTGGTGTGTGCCTGTCATCCCAGCAACAGTGTGAAGTGTGTAACAGGAGGATTGTGGCCCAAGCTGGCCTGGGCAAAAGCGAGACCCCATCTCCAAAGTAAATAGAGCAAAAGGTGCTGGAGTGTGGCTCAAGTGACAAAGCACCTGCCTTGCAAGTATAAAGCCCTGTATTCAAACCCCAGTACCATAAAAAACAGTTAATGATGTTAAATGACACCAAAATACACCACCATCAACTGACTGATCAACTGAGACTCAACTCTTAGTGACATATAAAAGCTCTTACGTCATAGCAAAAAACAATTCATAACAAAATTCTCTAAACGAAGCAAAGAAGTAGAAATCTACTTGGTGTCTTTTCCAGAACAAATGCACATTGGGTAAGGGATTCTGATGCATCTCACAGGATGTGGGTGGCCCTAAACAGGAGTGCCTTAGATGATAGCCCGGGGGGCGGGGGGGGTGTTGCTCAGTGCACAGCGTTTGCCTGGTGTGTGATGCCCAGATTCCAGGCCCACCCCGCCTGTCCCTACCAGTCCCCACCTCCTTCACGTGGAAGATGACAATCAGCTTCACGGTGGCAATCGCGGGCAGGAGGGGCGAGAAGAAGGCTCCAATCCAGCAGATAGTCTGCCCATATACGATCCCCAGGACGTTCTCGGGGATAGCAAACTCCTGCTGTCCCCAGCACTGGACCAGCTTCCACGACGAGCAGTAGGTCACCAGGAGCCTGGGAACACACCAGGCCAGCCCTTACCCGGCCGCAGACACACCCACCAAACCAAGATCATTTCCACAGCAACTGTTAGTTCTATGTCTCAAACACACAGAACACTGAACTCCAGAATTACTAACACCAGGGTCTGAGGCCCGGTTCAGTACACATGTCAATTCAAGTTCCTTGACCTCACTGAGCCTCATTTTTCTCAACTGGAACATGGTAGGGGATTACAATGCAACCTACTTCACAGATGACCATCAATAACACAGGATCATTGCTACACTCACACACACACATGCGCGCCACACACCTGTGCATCCACACGGAAAACGGTTATGGGACCCTACCAGCTGCAATGCTAGCTCCTAGGATGCTAGAAGCTTCCTGCAGAAATCCCAGGATGTGGGGCCAAGATAAACATACACAGCTGTTCACTGTAGCACACAGCTTAAATGCCATTAGTAGGGACCGGATTGCTAAATTATAAACCGTGAACACAGTGAAATATTATACAGTCATTAAAATGATGACAGAGAATCATTGCAGAGGGAATAGAAGTAGCACCATTTCTGCCCTCCATGCTGCCTTGCGACAGACAGCTAATATGAAGTATGGTGTCAATGGCCTGAAGCCATCCAAAAGTCACTGGTGGTCAGTGGTTTCCCGGGACTGTGGAGCCACCCAGCACCTGTGGGAAGTGGCTGTGATGGGAGCTCCAGTCACGGGTGCAGGTGCAAGGAGAACTCCCACACTTACTTTCTAGGGAAATCCACAAAGAGCGTCACAGCCAAGATGATGATGAAGTCAAAGATCATCAGCTTGTACATTTCCTGCCCCACCTGGGTCTCCCAGCACTGAAACCAGAGAGCGAGGTGCCTGAGAGGAAGCCGGGCTCCTGGACCCCTCCACTGCCCAGCCACTGCCAGCGCTGAGCTCGGGTCTCAAACCCTGACCGCGCCTGGCTCCATGCCCAACCTGCCTTAGCCAGGGCTGACAAGCAGCACAAATGGAGTCAAGCCACGGTTCCAGGGTGACACTGTCGCCAAGTGACCCCTTCACCCCAAGGGACACCGCCACCCATGCTCACTGGGTAGAGTCTCTGGTTGTAGCCGCAGAGCTCACACGTGACGTCATCGCAGGACGTGATCTTGGAGCCCAGGGTGAACACCAGCACACAGATGGTGGCCAGCCGCATGAACACACACCTTCGAGGAAGGGGGCGGAGGGGAGAGAAAGCAGAGGCCGTCTTGGTCCCCAGTGCAAAAAAGAAAAAAGCAAACCTGCTATTGCTATGGTGCAGAGCTCCTGTGCCGTACCCGGAATGGTGGAAAGCTCTGGACTCGGACGCTGGCAGTGGCTGCACAGCGTTGGGAATACCCTTCATGCCGCTACACTGTGCGCTTAGAGTGGCGACTATCGTATCATGTATATTTAACTGCAATTTCTGTAACAGGCAAGAAAAGAGACGAGGGTGGGAACTCCTTATGCCATGGTGAGGCTGTCCCGACAGAACACTGTACACTCCTGAAAAAGACCAAGCTGAGTCCTGTGCGTACCAGCTCTGAGGGGCACCTGAGAGCCCCTCAGAAGTGAAAAGGTAAAAAGTAAGTTGCAGAGTGTCACACAGGCATGGTCTCACTTTGGGAAGTTAAACAAAAGTGCTCTTGGCAGAAACTGTGCACCGGAGGACAGACAGACACTGGCTGTCCCCATGGAAGAGCGTGCACAAGACCTTGAGCCACGCCCCCAGCCTTTTGGCTGTGGCCTCTTTTGAATAAGGTCTTGCATTTATCTGGACCTGCCTGGACCTGCCTGAACTATGACCTCCTACTTATGCTTCCCGTGTGGCTGGGATGACAGGCATGTGCCACCACAGTCAGCTTTCACTGGCTGACTTGTGAACCATTTGCCTGGGCTAGCTTGGACCTCACTCTGTGATCTCTGCCTCCATAAGCAGCCACTACACCCAGTGGGGAATGTTTTCTATTGTCTGGTTTATAATAAAAAAATTAGAGTAACTAGCAACCATTAAAATGGGAAGTGGGGTGAGAAGCAACCCCACAGCATCTGCTCACTTTTCTCATCCTAGCAGCGCCCCCTGGTGGGAATGCGGCAGGCAGGAACACACAGCACCACCAGTGAGGTCTCCATGACAAAAATCTGACATGGGACTGAATAATGGTAGTTTACAGGGACCATGGGTATAGAAAAACAAAGTTAAGCATGCCACAAAGAGACCGGGAATTAAATCCACAACAGGTGCATTCTACAGGCACAAGTCAGCAGTCTAACAAAAACAATAAAAGGGACTTGGAGACTTAACCAAATGCAGCCCGTGGGCCTCCAGTGGCTCCTGTGTGAACATGGCACCTGCCCCACCAGCAGGGAGACTGATGCGCATTAGGGAGTGCGAGATGCTTGGGTTAAAACAAATGCTCGTCACTTGGAAGAAACCAAAGGGGCAACGACACGGCACCTAGATTCACTTAAAATAATGCAACGTGGCTCCACTTGCCTAGCAAATGCAAGGCCCTGGATTCAATCCCCAACACCATGAATCACCATCACTGTCACCACCATCATCACCCAGCAGAACGGAAGTGAGGGGATGGATGAGATAAGATAGGCAGAGGGTGCAAATAGTTGAAACGGACTAGTTTGCATTGGAAGTTCATTACAGCATTTGTGTCTGCCATTTGAAAAATTTCCAAACTATGAGGCCAGATGTGGTGGCTCATGCCTATAATCCCAGCTACTCAAGAGGTGGAAATAGGGAGGTTCAAGGACAACTTGGGCAAAAAGTGAGTGAGCTCCCAATTTCCACAAACAAGCTGGGCGTGGTGGCACACGCCTGCGATCCTACTTATGAGGCAGGCAGAGGCAGCAGTACGCAGTTCAAGGTTGGTCCCAGGCACAAAGCAGGAGACCCTACCTTAAAAGTAACTAAAGTAAAAAGGCTGGTGAGTGGCTCAAGTGGTAGAGTGCCTGCCTAGCAAGTGAAGGCCCTGAGTTCAAGCCACCCCACTCCTGCAAATCCAAACTATGAAGGTTTTGTTAAACATGCAAATGTAATCTTATATATTTGGGCAACAGAAAAAAATTTCTCCCTTCACACCTGGCCCTCCTTTACTGACGTGCGTGAACTCGCTAACTGCCTTATGCCCGTCAGCTCTGACACCTGCAGAGCAACACATTCTCCTAGTGCCCCAACCTCCACCTCCAGCCGTCACACAGCTAACACAGGACCAAAGTGCAAACTGGTGCGCAGACTCTGAGGTCTGCAAATTCTGATTCCTTTCTAGGCTCACGTGACGATGAAGGACTCAGCTTAGCAGGGAAATGGGCCGTTGGTTAGCGGAGGTCTGTATGGCGCACCTGTAGTCAGGCATTACCTAAGAATTGTCAGGCGGACCTCGAAGCCCGGGGAGTAGTCCTCGTAGCGGATGATCTTGGTGAAGATTATTGGAGTGATGAAATTGGCCAGCGTGATCACGATGGACGGGAGGTACAGGACCAAGAGGTTCTCTCCAAAAACCATCTGGTCAATTTCCTAGGAAGACAAGACACACCGGTTAGGAGCATGAGGGAGGGGCAACACAAAGGGAAGGAGTGCGACTCTGCGTGCGGCAGACAAGCAAAACCCATCTTTCATCGACGTGGCTGCCACGTAAGCCATCGCTTCCCTAGGTGTTCAGACAGAAGCGCCCCCCCAGCGCCACACTGGGAGCAAAATGACTCTGCTGGACGGGTGAAGGGGGTGTGTAAGAAACTCTGTAGGTAGGAATGAGCAATTTAACGTATTTTCAAGGATGTAGGAACGATTTGTAACAGCCCTTCTTTTCTTCTTTCATAGTTAAGAGGATCACTTAGCCACACAGCTAGCTATCCAGGATAAGCATTACACCTCTTAGCCTTCCTTGCAGCTAGCTAGGTACAGCCATGTGACTGAATTCTAGCCAAGGGAATAAGTAGACATTTCAAGTCCAACTTCAGGTCAAGTCCTTAGAGGGAAGCGATCAGCCCTCCCCACCCTCCCCACCTCCTCCTGTTGGCTGGAATGTGGACGTGGTAGTCAGCCATCTTGTGTCATACCGAGGAGGGCCCCAGCCTATGGAAGGCAGAGCCACAGGATGGATGGAACCCGGGCTCCTGATGATTGATGTCATGAAGCAGAGCCACGGGACTAACTCAGATTTTTTTGGGGGGTGGGTTTTTTTCTGCGACAGGGTCTTGCTATGTAGCTCAGGCTAGTCTTAGACTTGGTACGTAGTCCAGGCTGTCCTCAAACTTGTTATCCTTCTTCATCAGACTCGAGTGCCGAGATTATAGGCATGCACCACCACACCCAAGTTCCACCTTGAACTTTTAAAACCACTGCTATTTTAGGTAAACTACGCCATGAGAGCACAGATGACAATGGCACCGTTGCACAGGCATGCAAGGCACAGGCCTACCATCCACAGCAGCTCAGTCCTCATCGTGGTGCACTTACTTTCTTCATGTGCTCTTGCGAGAAGGTGGTTGCTATGTAGATGGCATAAAAGCAGGCGGCCAGAACGGCCAGGACAACACAGTTGAGAAGCAGTCTCAGGGAGTAAATGCGCACCGTCTCCTCGGAGGTCCTCTCTGCTATTTTCTGCCGTATTCTTTCTTCCTCCAGGTCTGCCTGAGGACCAAAGAAAGTGCTTTTGTGACATTGGGATGGAGGGGCTGCTAGAGGTGGAGCCTGCAATAGTCTCCACCCACCTCTAAGATGTCACTTGAATATCCCAACCCCCAGGAGGGTTTCCTAAACTAAGCCCACGTAGACTTTAGGGCTACAAAAAACCTAGGTCAAGGTGGAACCTCTCATAGACCAAAACTGGGGCTGGAGGTATGGCAAGCGGTAGAGCGCCTGCCTAGCAAGCACAACGCCCTGGGTTCAAAGCCCTAGGACCACCAAAAAAAAAAAAAAAAACCCGGAACTGTTGAGCCAGGACGCAGTCATGACATTACACATGTTCACATGTATAGTGTGTCATCTGTTTAAACAACATACAGGTAGAAGCTGGGGTTTGCTTGCTTGTTTGTGCGTAGCACTGAGGACTGAGCCGGGGCCTCACACATGCAAGCGCCCTGCCACTGAGCTGCACCCCAGCCCTTTAAAAAGCACTCATTTTGAGACAGGATCTTGCTAAATTGTCCAGGCTGGCCTTGAACGTGTGCTTCTCCTGCCTCAGCCTCTCAAGCAGCTGGGATTCTGAGTGTGTCTCACCAGGCCTAGTTAGATTTTTTTTTTGGCAGTACAGGGGCTTGAATTAATGGCCTCATCCTTGCTAGGCAGGCACTCCACCCCCCCGAGCCACACCCCAGCTCTCTACTGCTATAGCTACTTTTCAGGCAGACTCTTGCATTTCTGTCTGGTCAGGCCTCAGACCAGACCGCAATCTTCCCAGCCACAGCCTTCCAGGTGTCTGGGACCACAGGCTCACACCACCACGATTGAGATGGGGTCTAACTTTTTGCCAAGGCTGGCCTCAAATCACAATCCTGATCTCCAGCTCCCAAGTAGCTGGGATTACAGACACGAGCCACTGCACCTGGCCAGCCTGTGCTTTTAATAGTAGAATTCAATCTGCTCAAACTTAGCAGAAATAATACATTTGATTTCATTTCTTCCCTCCTCCATTTTTTTTTTGGAGGGGGCGGGTTTGACCAAGATGCTACTCATTTCTCCTTCTCTCCTTGTGAGTGTGGACATTCTTTGGACTTTTTCACATTCTCTGTACTGTACCCTATAATCACTGCCTTTCTTCCATTTCTCCAGAACAAGCTAAGTTTATGACATTCTCACCAGAAGAGAAAATAACAGTGTAAGTAAGACAAGACAGCATCTCTTCCCCACTGCCTGCTGGCTGTGTGCCCCACCTCCCTTCCCGGCCCTGGTCACCAGCCCCCTCCCTGCCCTGCCTGGTTCAAGGTGACCACTCTCAGTAAACTCAAAAGGACCTGGCTGAACACAAGCTGGCCTGACCCGACCTAGCTCCTCAGCAAGGCAAGGCAAGGCAAGGCGTGAGGACCCCACCAAGGGAGATCCTGCAGCACTCACTCGGAGCTCGTACCGCAAGCTGCTGTGCCTCAGCTCCGCCATGCTGCGGTTTGTGATGCAGAAGTCCCAGCCTGCGAAGATCTTGTTGCAGTAACTCTGCACGTTCTCCTCACTCCGGATCAGGTTGATCTTGAACCCCTCCACAGACCTGATTGCAGAGCACAAGTACCCTTCTGACAACGCAGCTACATACACCCGTGAACTGGCTTTGTTTAATATCTAAGAAGTGAGGCGTGGTTGTGTTTTGGGCTCATTTGATATGGTCATAGCTAACCAGAGATGTTGTCGTTCAAAATCACTTTCTTTTACCTATCTGTGTAGCTCAGGCTGAACTTGAACTCACAATCCTCCTGCCTCAGCCTCCTGAATGCTGGGATTACAGGTGTGTACCCCCACACTGGCTACAAAGTCTAAGATGGCCTAGAAATACCACATGCTGCAGGGGTGTCTGTCTCCTCCCATGTGACTTACTCTGCAATAGCTTTCTTCCCTTTCCATAAACACACACATCCCTGTTCCTGCCTCAGGGCCTCTGCACTTGGCAGTTCCCACCGCCCTCTCTAGAGGTAGGTCCTCTCACCTGTTACACTTTGGATGTGGAGTGTCCCCCAAAGCCCGCCTGTAGAAGACTTGGGTCCCACCCCATGGTGCTATTGGGAGGTAGTGGAACCTTTAAGAGATGGTGCTAGAAGAAGAAAATTAGGTCATGGGGGGATGTGACCTTGAAGGGGTTACTGGGACCCCAGTCTCTGTCCGTCTTTCTGTTTCTTGACTGCTATGAGCAAGCAGTCCCTCCACCATGATGTTCTGCCTCACCACAGGCCCAAAGTAACAAAGCCAAGTGACTATGGACCGAAGTGCCAAAACTGTGAGCCACAACAAACCTCTCCTCCTTTTAAGTCAACTGTCTCAGGCATTTTGTCACAGTTAACTGTGGGGAGTAGAATATGAGCTGAGTTTGGAGTGGCAACAGCTGCAGAAGAATGCAAAGGCAGAATGCAGCACAGCTGCTTTTCATAAGTTGTTTACATTCAGAGAAGTAGGAATGCAGGTTTCTCTTGTTACAATATCATGCCCCTTGTTTACCATTGGGCATAAAAGACTCTGAAGGAGGATGGGAGGTTTTCTGATGGAGGTTTGTTGAAGACTGGTGGGCTGCTGCTGCTGAGTTATGCTAGAGATTAGAAGAACTTTATACACAGGCTTTAGAAAAGCTACACTAAAGAAAAGCTAAAGAGAACATGGGACACAGCGAGTGTAAGGAAAGAGACTTTAAAGAACAGAAAAGAAGAAATATTCTAGAAGATTTTAAAGAATAGAGAAGAAAAGAAGCAAAATAAAAGAAGAGAATATTAGAGAAAAGAAGCAATGAGGCTGTTGTGCGTCTCCATCCGAGCACCCAGCACACCTGCCCCCAACTTTCTGCATGTCTACCTATCATTTGTCCTTTCTGAATCTCCCAGTTAGGCTGGGAGAACAGGAACCCACTAAGCTTGTGAGAAGTAATAGTAATGTATCACCCAGCAGGTTTCAGCTCAAATATGCCCGCTGTGATTCCTCATGTCCCCGTGTAAGGTGACAACCCTGACTTCAAATCAGTTCCTTTTATTTTCTTCACAGCAATGAACTTGTAAATCCACTGTTATATTATTATCTTGGGTTTACAGTGCTTTACTCTTAACTACATTGTTGTTTTTTTTTTCTGCTGTACTAGGGTTTCAACAGAGGCCTCAGCTTGCTAGGCAGGTGCTCTACCTCTTGGGCCACTCCATTACCCCTCTGAGCAAATTTAAAATTCCTCGAGGGCAGGTACCCTGGCTGCCTTGCCATCTTTGTTTCCACACTGCCTGGACCACCCGTTAGTCAGCAGATGGTAAGTGAGTAAATGACTTAAGTAGTAATGAAACAACTACTCAGTGAACACCTGTTTGGGCCAGGTGCAACTCTCTTGCACCTTCCATTTTATTCAGTCAAATGCCCTCATGGAAAAAATATACCCTGGCACTTGATGCGGTAAAAACCCCAAATGCCATACACAGTCCTCGGCAGATGAAATGGGCTATTTGGGGGACATACTGGGGAGGCAACAGAAGTGGAAGGAATTACTGCCATCAGTCATTCTGCCAGAGTCACAGCGAAGATCTTGTACCACAGCCAGCCGAGGTGTTTCCCACAACGCAGATTCTGGAGTGACTGCACAGCCCCACGTCCACAAGCACAGCTTCTATTGTACTCAGGCCACTGCACCTTGGGGGACAGTTGTCTCTAAAGGAATTCATACTCCTCCCTTTGCTTGGCAATTGTCCTCTCTCACTAAACACTTGGGATGTGTCACATTGTCATATGACCCATGGCAGTCAGACTTTTTGTCAACTGTGACAAATAGCCAAGGAAAGATTCACGTTGGCTCAGGGTTTCAGAGGACTCAGCCCATGGCAGGCTGCTGCATGGCTAGGGGCCTGAGGTGGTGGGGTAGAATGCCATGGTGGCAGGACATGGCAAGGGAAAGCCACCCACCTCATGGTGGCCAGGGGGCAGAGAGAGGGAGAGGGAGGGACTTGGGACAGGTACATCATTTAAAGACACACACCAGTGAGCCATGCGTCGTCTGTCAATCCACTGAGGAAGGCAGTGCCTTCATGATCCAATCACTTCTCAATGTGACACCAGCTGGGGACCAAGCCTACCACATATGAGCCTTCTGGGGACATTTCATATCCAAACTACACATGACCCTTAGCCTGCTGGCCACAGCTGATGGTCAGAGTGCTGGGCACTGGATCCACAGAGGTCACACAGAGTGTGCTCCCTGCAGCCATGTAAGGGTCAGGATGGGGGGCCTGGAGAGGCAAGGCCATCAAGTCCCCGGGAAGGACTTCTGTGCCTATGACCCAAGGGTCTCAGCTGCTGGGAACTGTGAGATGCCCAATTTTCCAGCATGCTGGGAAGATGCCGCACACCAAGATTCAAATGAGGAAACCCTTGCCCTTTTATCTGTGTGTGGAGGGGAGTGCAGCCCTGGGGCTTGCCACTTAAACCACGCCCCCAGTCCTTTTGCTTTTAGTTTGTTTTTCAGATAGGGTCTCTCACTAACTTTGCCTGGGGTCAGCCTTGGACTCTGATCCTCATACCTCTGCCTAACTAAGTGGGATTATAGGTGTGTGCCACCATGCCTGGCTGAAAACCTCTAGCTTTTGATATTGTTGTTAAGCCACAGCTATGTCTGCCCTTCCTGGAACAGAGTTCCTGCCCTTCCTTGATTCCTTACTTCTCTAGCCACTCAATTCCCCTCTGTCCCAGTCACTACAATTGGGTCTCTGCCTCTTGCAACCCCACAGAGACATAATTAACACCCACACCAAAGCAAAGACAGTGTGGGGGAAGGGGTGGGGCTGCTGGGTGTGCTCCATGACTGCATGAACTCTGAGTCTCTGGCTTCCCCTCCCCCATGTCTCATCCCCTGCACCACTGTCACAAAGCCCACTCCCCCACACACACTGCTCATACCTCAGGCTATGGCTTGCAGAGCCCACAGGGCTGGAAGAGACGCAGCCATGAAGGGTAATTCAAAGCAGTCAACTCACCTTTTCACTATCCACAGGAGACTCAGGGCCAGGTAGGCAATTGTGCTGATCAAGTAGGCAAGAGGCAGGTCATAGGTGAAGTTCTGAAACCTGACCCCGTCGATGGTGTAGTGTCCATAAAAGAGACTGGTCTCCTCCAAGAAACCCTGCGATCAAGCCGAGGCCGGGAGGTTGGACTGGGCAGCTCAGTGCAGGCGACCAGAAGAGGGGCTCCTGACTCCAGGAACTCACAGTCCCAGGGTCCCCAGACACCAGCACAGCCCCAGAGGTGTAGAGGTGCTCAGTCAGTGTTTGGGGGATAAGAACTGATAAACCTGAGCATTAAAATACCCAGGTAAGCCATCCCAAACTAAAACTAAGAAGGAAATACCACATGCCGCAGAATCAAACAGATTAAAACACTTAGGAACAAATTTAACACAAGTGCAGATCTGTACTCTGAAAACTATCAGTCACTGCTGAAAAAATTAAACACTGAAATGTATGGGAAAACAGGCACGCACCACTGTACACACCTTATTGGTCGAGATGAGGTCTTGCTGTTTGCCCAGGCTAACCTCAAACCATAATCCTCCTAACCTCCACCTCCAGAGTAGCTGGAATCATAGCTGTGAGCCACCACACCTGGCCAACAGGGCATTTTAATACTTAACTCCCAGAAAGTTTCATGTGCAGACTGAAATGCTTGGGGCCGGAAGAGTTTGAGATTTCAGACTTTCAGGTTTTGGAATATTTGCATAGACTTTGCCACTAGAGTATCCATAAACCGACAATCCAAAATCCAAGATGTTCCCAAATTTGATTCTGGATTTTCAGATTAGAGAAACTCAATTCACACACGGAGAGTAATGTTTTTAGCCAGAGGCAATTTATTCCCTAGGAAACATCTGGTAATGTCTGGAGACTTTTCTCTGCAGCACTAGGCTTTGAACTCAGGGCCTGGTGCTTGCAAGGCAGGTGCTCTACCTCTTGAGCCACACCCCAGCCCTTTGTGCTTGACTTCATTTTCCAGCTAGGGTTTTGAGCTTTGTCTGGGCCAGCCTGGACTTCCTCCTCCTAACTATGCCTCATGAGTAGCAGGGACTGCAGGCATGTACCACCATGCCCAGCTTGTTGCACTAACTTTTGCTCAGGCTGACCTTGAACTGTGATCAACCCACCTCTCAGACTCCAGAAGAGCTGGGACCACAGGCACGTGGAGATGCTTTTTAGTGTCACAACTGGGGGCAGGGTGTCACCATCATATAATGCATATGGCAAGCCCCACAGCAAAGAACCATCAGGCCCTGACGGCAACAGTGGCAGGCTGTGCTGTGTGAGTCCTTGTTGTGTGTTTCATGTCAGTTTCTGGGTGGAGGAGCTGGAGCCTCTGTCCATGTGGTCAAGGTATAAATCAATTCTATCCTGGTTCATTTTCACTGAAACTTCTTCCCAATACCAAGGTGGCAGGAGCTAGGGAAAGGCCACCGCCCAGAAGTGGCAAAGCCCACGTCCCGTGCATCCTAAGCAGATAGCGGGGAGCTCTGTCCTTGCAATGGGGTGCCTGGCTCAGGGTCAAGCCTGGTGTGTGGCTGTCACTGCAGACATTCAGGACTCTGGTCTTCAGATAAGCTAACTTTCACTAGAGCGAGGGTCCACGCAAAGGGCCGAGTTAAACACTCACCGTGCCAGACAGCAAGTCGATGATGTAACTGTAGAAGTAAATGAGTCCTGAACTACTGACCGGATAGACCGTGCACTGGATATCTGTGAGAGATGAAACCGGAATGAGTTGAAGTGGTTCCACCGTCTCTGTAACATGCCCACTGCAATCTGCGTGCATAAGCACGTACATATTTAGACATGGCTCCTATATTTGCATACTTGTACACGGAAGTGTATTTGTGATTTTCTGTTTCTCTACTGCTCAACCCCAATGGATCCAATACACTTGTGTTTCCTTCTATTTTCTGTTTCCATTGCTAACATTTACTTGCCCATCCTCCCTAAACATGGGGTTCTTCTGCATGTGTGTGCACACAAAACATGCTTCTGTCTATTATGTGTTCATGTTCTGGGTTCATGTTTGTATGTGTTTCAGGATACATGATAATTTAATTATTATCCCATTTTAAGCACATCTAATAAAAAGATCTTTATGTGTATGTTAAAGAAAACAGAGTTTCATTAAAAAATACAGATGTTTACACATGTACTTTTCTCTTTTTAACTTTTTTTTTATTACTCATATGTGCATACAATGCTTGGGTCATTTCTCCCCCCTGCCCCACCCCCTCCCTTACCACCACCCCCCTCCCCCCCAACACCCTGGATACCTGGCAGAAACTATTTTGCCCTTATCTCTAATTTTGTTGAAGAGAGAGTATAAGCAATAATAGGAAGGAACAAGGGTTTGTGATAGCTGAGATAAGGATAGCTATACAGGGAGTTGACTCACATTAATTTCCTGTGCGTGTGTGTTACCTTTTAAGTTAATTCTTCTTGAACTAACCTTTTCTCTAGTTCCTGGTCCCCTTTTCCTATTGGCCTCAGTTGCTTTTAAGGTATCTGCTTTAGTTTCTCTGCGTTGAGGGCAACAAATGCTAGCTAATATTTTAGGTGTCTTACCTATCCTCATATCTCCCTTGTGTGCTCTCGCTTTTATCTTGTGATCAAAGTCCAATCCCCTTGTTGTGTTTGACCTTGATCTAATGTCCACATATGAAGGAGAACATACAATTTTTGGTCTTTTGGACCAGGCTAACCTCACTCAGAATGATGTTCTCCAATTCCATCCATTTACCAGCGAATGATAACATTTCGTTCTTCTTCATGGCTGCATAAAATTCCATTGTGTATAGATACCACATTTTCTTAATCCATTTGTCAGTGGTGGGGCATCTTGGCTGTTTCCATAACTTGGCTATTGTGAATAGTGCCGCAATGAACATGGGTGTGCAGGTGCCTCTGGAGTAACAGTCTTTTGGGTATATCCCCAAAAGTGGTATTGCTGGATCAAATGGTAGATCAATGTCCAGCTTTTTAAGTAGCCTCCAAATTTTTTTCCAGAGTGGTTGTACTAGTTTACATTCCCACCAACAGTGTAAGAGGGTTCCTTTTTCCCCACATCCTCGCCAACACCTGTTGTTGGTGGTGTTGCTAATGATGGCTATTCTAACAGGGGTGAGGTGGAATCTTAGTGTGGTTTTAATTTGCATTTCCTTTATTGCTAGAGATGGTGAGCATTTTTTTATGTGTTTTTTGGCCATCTGAATTTCTTTTGAGAAAGTTCTGTTTAGTTCACTTGCCCATTTCTTTATTGGTTCATTAGTTTTGGGAGAATTTAGTTTTTTAAGTTCCCTATATATTCTGGTTATCAGTCCTTTGTCTGATGTGTAGTTGGCAAATATTTTCTCCCACTCTGTGGGTGTTCTCTTCAGTTTAGAGACCATTTCTTTTGATGAACAGAAGCTTTTTAGTTTTATGAGGCCCCATTTATCTATGCTATCTCTTAGTTGCTGAGCTGCTGGGGTTCCGTTGAGAAAGTTCTTACCTATACCTACTAACTCCAGAGTATTTCCTACTCTTTCCTGTATCAACTTAAGAGTTTGGGGTCTGATATTAAGATCCTTGATCCATTTTGAGTTAATCTTGGTATAGGGTGATATACATGGATCTAGTTTCAGTTTTTTGCAGACTGCTAACCAGTTTTCCCAGCAGTTTTTGTTGAAGAGGCTGCTTTTTCTCCAGTGTATATTTTTAGCACCTCTGTCAAAGACAAGTTCGTAATAGTTGTGTGGCTTCATATCTGGGTCCTCTGTTCTGTTCCACTGGTCTTCATGTCTGTTTTTGTGCCAGTACCATGCTGTTTTTATTGTTATTGCTTTGTAATATAGTTTGAAGTCAGGTATTGTGATACCTCCAGCATTGTTCTTTTGACTGAGTATTGCCTTGGCTATTCGTGGCCTCTTGTGTTTCCATATAAATTTCACAGTAGATTTTTCAATCTCTTTAATGAATGTCATTGGAATTTTGATGGGACTTGCATTAAACATGTAGATTACTTTTGGGAGTATAGACATTTTTACTATGTTGATTCTACCAATCCATGAGCATGGGAGATCTCTCCACTTTCTATAGTCTTCCTCAATCTCTTTCTTCAGAAGTGTATAGTTTTCCTTGTAGAGGTCTTTCACATCTTTTGTTAGGTTTACACCTAGGTATTTGATTTTTTTTGAGGCTATTGGAAATGGAATTGTTTTCATACATTCTTTTTCCGTTTGCTCATTGTTAGTGTATAGAAATGCTAATGATTTTTCTATGTTGATTTTATATCCTGCTACCTTGCTGAGGCTATTGATGGTGTCTAGAAGCTTCTGAGTAGAGTTTTTTGGGTCTTTAAGGTATAGGATCATGTCGTCTGCAAATAGGGATATTTTGACAGTTTCTTTACCTATTTGTATTCCTTTTATTCCTTCCTCTTGCCTAATTGCTCTGGCTAGGAATTCCACTACATACATGTATACTTATCCAACAAATTTTAACACTTTAGTGCTGCCAGCTCACTAACTCACTTCTCCTCAGTATCAGTCAGTTACTGCTGTGTAACAAATGATTTCAAAGTTTCAGTGACTGAAAACACCAAATGTCTGTTGTCTCACGCATGGGCCTGCAGCTTGAGTCCATTCAGCTGATTCGGGCTGAGCCAGGATAGACTCTGCACTCCAGGCTGGGCTCAGGTCTGATTCTCATGACCTCACTCTGGGACCTGGACTGAAGAGTCAGTAGGACGCTGGGTCCTGTTTTCTTGTGGCAGATCACCGGGGCACAACAAGGCAAGCCAGTGACAAGAAGACATTTAGGTATCACTTCGCTAGACAAAAACAAGTCACATAGCCACAGTCAGTGGGGCAGGAGGGTTCTCTACCCACAGTGGGGGACACCATAAAGGTACAATCATGGAAGAGTGACAAATTGAGGAAAATAATTCAATCTGTCACCCCTTCCTCTTTGGGCCTTGGCTTCCCCTTTGTTAAAATAAAGAGGTTGAATCAGGTTTCCCCAAGACCAATTCCAGTTCTGCTATTTTATAATTCTAACATGCATTCAACAAACATTTCTTCAATACGGTGTACCAGATAGATGTTGGTAATAAGAAGATGATAACAGGAAGTTCCTGTTCTTAAAAAGCTCACCACCAAGTGGCAGAGAAGGACAAGTGACTGTTTGATATAAGGTGCTCAAATGGTTGCGGGAACACGGTACTATAGACAGCGAGGACAGAGATGACCACTCTCTTCTAAGAGGAGTCAGGAAAATGGAACAATAGCCTGCCACTGTGCTCTACCCTGTGTGGAGGACAGACAGCAATAGCCCCCACTACCAGGCCCATTCGCTATAGTTTGTCTACAGCTACAAGCAGAGCCCAACAGTCACAGCATAGTCCTTCTGGCCTGCAAAGTCTAGGGGAGTATTTCTCTGTAAAATACACCAATTAGAAAATAAGAGAGCCAGGTGTGGTGGCACATGTCTGTAATCCCAGCTACTCAGGAGGCAGTGGTAGGAGGATCACGGTTTGAGACTGGCCCAGGAAAAGTTACCATGAGACCCTATCTGAAAAATAAACATAAAAAAAAAAAGGACCAAGGGCATAGCTCAAGACTCAAGTGATAGAGCCCTTGCTTAGCAAGTGTTGGGCACTGAGTTCAATCCCCAGTACTGAAAGAAAAAAAAGCCAATCTTTAAAAAAAGAAGAAAATGGAGCACAGGTTTCTGGGTTATTTGTGTTTTATAAGTGTAATCGAATTAAAATGGAAACACACATGACTAGGAAGAACACACAGGACCACAGAAGTGATTCTAAGGGCTCTTGCAGCTCAGGACTTAGAGCTCTGGCATGAGGTCAGCTTGCCCAGTTTCAGTCTAGTCCTAGCCTGATACCCAGAGGGTGCTGTCCACGGAACAGCTGAAACTCTGCCCATCTGAGCACACGGACACCTAGAAGACCTGGCTGGTGTTGAGAATTCAGTAGGAAAATGCAGTCAGCACTTGCCATAGCATCCAGCATGACTGGTGCTGAGTTAACTGCACCCTTGAAATCATCCTTACCAGAGGTAAAAATCTCAGTCATGGGGCAGAGTGCATTGTGCTTCCAAATGTCCCCTTCCTGCCTCCCAAATCCCTAATGAACTCAGGAGGGGCTCAGCATGCTGCTTTGACCACGGAGATGTGGCAGGAAAGTGGCCATGTGTCATCTCTAGGCAGAACCTCCAGAGTCAGCACTCATTTACTGTGGCTCTTTTTTCCTGGGTCGCACTGACTTGTCAAGGCCAGATAAAGGCTACTGCATCAGCTTGGGCTCCACAGTGAAGACCACCGTGATGAGATGGATCGTGGGTGAGAAATAAACCTGTGCAGTCATTAGGCACTGGAGGTGATGGGGGCATTTGTTTCTGCAGCATAACATCGCACCCTGACTGAGACTCAGAACGAAGATCACAGCTAGGACACTCGGTGCGGTAAAGCAGGCCTTCCACTCACCCATGTCCTTGAAGGGGATGAGCACAAAGGTGCTGTTGGTGATTTTGAACTTGGTGAGGAAGACCGGGAGCAAAACCAACAGGAAGATGATGAGGAACATCACCAGGTTCAGCAGCACCAGGAACCGCAAGAAAGAGAAATAGGACCGAATCCCAGTGCCAAACTTCCCTGGAAAAAGAAATTGAGCCCGTCAGTGACCAAGAGCACTGACCCACAGCACACTGTAGATTCAACCCTTGTGAGACACAGGAAGAAACATTTTCTTTTTCTACCACGGGGTTTAAGGCTCTGCTTCCTGCTGCTTGAACTCTGCACGTGTACATCCATGATCAAGCTGGAACTGGTCACGTGAGGACGCCTCCATGCTTCTCTTCACGCGTGGAGAGCTGGCTGACTTAACACTGCGGGCAGACTGCCTTTTTTGGAATTAATTAGTTATGTATGTATCTGTCTCTGAACTCGACCCTGGTCCATGGGTCTACCTGTCTGTCCTTACCCTAACATAAGGCTGTCTTGATTACTGCAGATTTACAGCGAGACCTGACAATATGCACTACGACTTTAGCTTTGCTCTTCCTTCAGATTCTCCTATGTGCCCTTGGCATTTAGTATTTCCACATAACTTTAAAAAAAATGCTGTATTAATGTCCACTCACACATGCACACACATTGCTGAGACTGACTGGGATTACATGGAATACACAACTGGAGAGGTGACGTGTTTAGGCTATTTAGTCTTCTGTTCCATGAACATGGTACATTTGGGTCTCCTTTAGTATCTCTCAATATTTTGTAGGGTTTTTGTTTTTGTTTTTTGGACGGGTCTATGTAGCTCAGAATAGCCTTGAACTCACAATCCAAGTGCTGGCATTACAGGCCTGCGCCAACATAACAAGCTTCAAAAACATGTTACCCTTTTTTACGCATAAGTATTGCATGTCTTTCTTTAGATAAATTCCTAGGTATTTCACTTTTCAAATGTTATTATAAACTAAATCATGAAAAATTTCATCTTCTACACAGAAGTGTATAGAGGTGTGCTTGGGGCTAGAGCAGCTCATTTGTACAGCACTTGGCTAGCACGCACAGGCCCTAAATTTGATCCCTGCACTATCACCACTCACTGAAAAACTAATAAATAAATAAAATGAATTTTACAGGGAGACCTCATTGAATTAACTAACCTTGTTAAATTCACATATTCATTCCAGCAGTTTTTAAAATTTTCTACATACATATCATGTCACCTGCAAAAACAATGACATTTTATTTCTTCCTTTTCCAACATCCTTTTCCTTTCTTACCCTACATCACTGCACAGCACCAGCCATGTTGCCTGGATGATGCAGACAGAATCTGTGATAACTGGCACGTTTGCCCTTCTCAATCTCAGGAGAAAAGCACGCAGTATGTCATTAGATAAGATGCCAGCTGCAGAGGCTTTTGGTTTTTTATCGGCTTTAAAAATCAGATTAAGACGAGTCCCGATATTTCTTATTTGGTGTGAATGAACTGAGGCGCATTGACACTTCTCCTGCCTCTCTGACACGATCATAATTTTCTCCTTTATTCTGCTCATGTGGCGAATGACATGGATTGATTTTCAAACAGAAGCCCATCGGTTCACCAGAGAAGGCTGAAATTGCTGGGTCGGTTGGAGAGCGTTCTAGAGTGAGGGTGCTTGTTCTCGGAGAGTGAAGAACTTAGCCGCTGACAAGGAAGACGTGAGATGCTACAATCGGCCTCTCACAGTCAGCACTCAGCCAGAGGACAAACTTGATCATCACACCAGCCAGCCAAGCAATCCCAAGAGCAGAGTAGCTAAAGAGAAAATCAAAGCCCCACATGTGCAGGGGGAACCAGCCTGTAACACACACGCCTCAATCCAGGAAGATCCCGGGCAGGCTGCCGCCCAGCCAGAGAGGAAGCTGCACGCAGCATTTGACACCAAGGCCCTGAGGCTCACTGCCTGGGTTCAAAGCCTGGCTTTGCCTCACCCTGTCTTACTGAATGCGGAGCCAGCAAGCAACAAGTATTCACATGAAAAGCTCTCATGAGGACTGACTGGGACCAGATGAAAAAAATACCTTAGCCCACACCTGGTTCACAGCAGATGTTTAACAAAGATTATTTTGCTCCAAACATGCTCTGCCCACATCTCAAGAGAAAAAGTAGGAGTGTGAGGCTGAAGTTTTGAGTGAGCCCGTGAGACTCCTCAGAAACATTTACATTCTCCATATAAGACAATAAAAATACAGTGAATAAATCACCAGGAGTGTCTTCAAAGACAGACAACCATCTCCTCCAGTTACCCTGCCATGTTCCTTATAAATCCTACAAAATTTCACTGTAGCGGTTTTGAGGCCAGGCTTGTAAAGCATTTACGACAGAAAATATGTAATCCTAGAATGCGCCAATGCATCACACACACACCGTGTCCCTGTTCTGCTACGTAAATCAAATATTTTATATTTCTACTTTTATACTTTGGCACAACTTCCAGGTTTTATGGGCTGACTTCCAGGTTTTATGGGCTGAATTGTATCCCCCTCCCAAATTCCTATGAGGAAGTCCTAGTCCCACATGCTATTTGGAGCTGGGCCTTTGGGAGGGAATTAGGGGAGATGAGGTCTTGAGGGGCACCCGTATAAGGAGGGCTGTTCTCGCCTCCTCCCTCTCTTTCTCTCTGTATTTATGTATTTATTTTTGTGGCACTGAGATGGAACTCAGGTCTTGAGAAGCTAGGCAAGCATTCTGCCACTAGCCATACTCCCAGCCCTAAATTTCTATCTCTTAAGCCACACAATGTATGGCATTTGGTCACTAAGCTGACTGATACAACACTGCCCCAAGTTGTCATCACTATGGGAAAGCAGAGATTCTTAGTATCGTTACGGGCATAGGCACGTTGGCAGTTGGGCGCAGCTGAGGAACCCTAGCTCACACCAATGCTTCTAAGTACAAAACCTATGAACGCAGTTCTGACACTGAAAGCACACTTGTGATGGACTGCCACGGGCATCCTCACCAGCACACTGAGTAACAAGACCTGGTGGCAGGCCTAATGGCTACTAAAACTTCAAGGCAGTGACACAGGAACACAGCGTTTCAAGACACCTACACCAAATGGAAAGACAGAAAAAATCTGTGACTTTTCCTGCTGACAAGAACACAGATCTGCTCAGGCTAAGCAAAGAACAAGCGAGACCCTCCCACGCACCCATGTCCACAGAGGTGACTGCAGGGCCAAGCCAGGCCCTCCCATGCACCCGTGTCCACACAGGTGACCGTGCAGGGCCGGTACCTTCTATACTGCGAATGTCCTTGCGCCACAGCTCCAGGTGGGTCATCATCTCGTGAGTCTTCTCCAGGAACCTCTTCCAAGACTTGCTGCTGTACCGCTTCCACTGGTCCCACTCCGACAAGTACTTCATCTGGGTCTCCTGAATGTCCCTGCGATAAATCATGACTGTGACCATGACAATGGCCAGGCATCAAGTCCAACCCCAACTGGGAGCCCTCAGCCATGCTGCTGGGAATGTAAGAGGCACGGCCATTATGGAAAACGGTCGAGCAGTTCCTGAAAACGTTAAACACAGAATTACCACAGGACCTGGCAATTCCAGTCCTGAGTCTACAACCAGTAGAAATGAGAAAGCCTTGCCATGAATGTTCACAGCAGCACCACTCACAGCAGCCAGAAGGTCCATCGATGGAAAGTGGATAAAAAAATGTGATCTATATACACATTATAAGATTATTTGGCCATAAAAAGGAGTGAAATAAGGCCAGACATGGTGGCACATGCCTTTAATTCCAGCTTCTCAAGAGGCAGAGATCAGAGTAAAGTGGTTCAAGGCCAGTACAGGCAAAAAGTTAGCAAGACACCCATCTCAACAATAAGCTGTGTGGTGGTGACCTCCTCTAGTCCAAGCTACATGGGAGGTGGAGGTAGGAGGATGGCTGTCCAGATTGACAAAGGCAAAAACATGAGACCCTTTCCAAACAAATAACTAAAGCAAAAAGGACTTGGAGTGTGACTCATGTGGCAAGCACAAGCAAGTTCAAACCTCAGTACCACCAAAAGGGAGGAAAAAGACTGAAGTACAATACATGCTGCAACTTGGATGAACCTTGAAAATAGTACACTAAGTGAAGGAAGTCAGACACACAAGGCCACTCATTATTTATTTCGGTTTACATGGATGTCTATAATTGCAGACCTAGAGAGACAGATAGTACGTCTATTAGACAGGCAAATCTATAGCTCAGTGCCTGCCTGGGGCTGAGAAGGGGAGCAACTGCTTGCTGGGAACAGTATCCAACCCGGATGGTGTCAGATGCACAGCACTGTCAGTGTTCTTGACCCCAATGGACTGTACACTGCCAATGAATTAAATGCTAAGTCTCACGCACCTTTACCACAGTAATATCCATCTGATGGCCTCTCTGCACCCAGTAAACTGGCCCTCTGGAGCCACTCCTGGCCTCTTTCCCCACCCCCAGAGTCAGTCAAGTTCCCCCATTCTATCTGTCTCCCAGGACACCTTCTTATAGTACACCCTCCTCAACTGTACAGTAGGTCTAGTGATGTCTGTCTCTCCCAATCACCCCAAGCTCTTTAAAAGTCAAGGATACAGGTATTTATTGTGTGGTCCCCTGAGCCTGGCACAGAAAGCAGAGCCCACAACATCCTGACCATGTCTGTTTAGTAGGTTCTGGATAAATATGCATCCCCTAGTGGACAACAGAGGAAGAGGGGATTAACACTCACTGCTTCTGTATTCGTGGGAAGGGAAGTGCTTTTATCAGAGACAGACAGACAGACAGGCCAATTGACCCATCCACAGATAGACAGAGATGGATGGGTGGATGGATGAATGGATACAGAGATATATTTTAGTTTTATAGCTCCTCACTCTCTACAGAATAAAAAGTACATTCTTTACTTTGGAAGTCAAGGTCCCTCTCAGGCAGGTTCCAGCTTCCAGGCCTCTCCACTCCCTCCAAGGAATCCGGTGTGTATCTCACGATTTCCTGAACCTGCCTTGGGGTCTGGCATTTGCTCTTTCCTTCCTTGCTCCTGCTGTTCAAACCCCTCCCCTTCTCCTGCAACATCCTTCCTTCCCTGCTAAGCTGCTGAGCAGATTTTCCCACCCACCGAATCCAGAGTGGCCTCAGGATCTGCTTAGACACTGAACGCAGCGGAAGGGGCCCCATGCTGGTCCCAAGTCCAGCACAGGAGTCTTTAGGCACTGCTCCTTTCCTGGAGTCAGGCTACTGCCAGGTGAGCAAGTCAGACAGTCCAGCCTGCAGTCAGCTGATCCCAACTATTGAATCACAGAGCCACCTTTCGGGCCACAGAGACCACAGATACATAATGAGCTCAATTGGAACTGGAACTGTCCAGCTGCCTTGTATCCTTGTGAGAGGGTTTTAAGATGACTAAACCACAGGTGATTTATTACACAGCACAGAACACACAGAGTGAGCGACTCCTCTACACCGTCCCCCCTGCAGGCTGGCTGCGATCAGACGATGAGGCTTCGGCAGCGGGATGCAGAGTCATCAGATGGAAGGGGTTTGGGTCACTGAATGGCTGCCGAGCCCCCAGTGACCTGAGGCTAGGACTTCATGTAAACAAGAAATAAACTTAGGATCAGTGAAGCCATTACACATCTGGTTACCCCTGTCACTGCAGCTTAGTGCCCCCTAAGAATAAAATTTCAACCATGTGAGATTTCCAGGAAAAGCATTCTGTGCCTGGAACGCACATGGGTGCAGCTTCCCAGTGGCTACTGGACAAACCTTAGCCTCCGCTTCTCAGAGATGTTCAGTGCATACTTTCGAATGGATTGGCTGTTGAGGTTTTCTGTGACTCCCCCCTCGAGCTGGGAGCTGAAAGAGTCTGTCGGCTTCAGCAAAGTGCCACCCTGCCTGTCCCGGGAAAGGATGGCTGTCCTCCTGCGTGCAACTGATCGGAAGCTTGGCAATTCTTGAAGGAAGTGCACAGGTGGAGAGGAGGAGCAACTGGAGTCCAGAGACACATTATCTGAGTAAGAGAAGAAAAGTATCATTCGCTCAGGAGCTTGGGAACCAAAGAACAAGAGCTGTACAGGAACCTTGTAGATAGCTACCAGCCTGGGCCAGTGACAGGAACCTGCGGATCTTGTCTTACTCGCTGTGACAGTGCTCAGGACGGTGAATTCATCTGAAATGGGCTCAGTGCCTACAGATGTGTTTGCAAACATGTTTTAAGTTGCCTGCCATCTGAGCACCAGTGGCTGGCTGCGGCCCCAAGCTGAACGTGTGGCCTGTTTGTCAAACAGGGCTGGTAATATTGCTCACACTCTTCCCGCAGCGTGGAGCCTACTGACGTATGTGACAAAACAGAAAAGCCTAAGGTGCTATGCAAGTGCACGGTGGTGGTGATGTCCACAACAGAGTGTTTGCTGAGCATTTCTGAGGGTACAGCCATTGTGTGGTCAGTCACACAAGCTCATGGGATCTGAACTGCCTGTGTTCAGCCTGGAGCGACAGAATGTACCAGAAGCTATGCTTCTTCTGGGCCTATCCGGAGCCCCGGCCAGACAGCTGACCTGCTGGATGGAGGATGGGACCATATGGTGAGGATCCTCTCCACCCCCACCTGGCTGAGCCCACTGGTAGCAGAGTTCAGCCAATGCCGACTCACCATGCTCACAGTGCTGAGGCAGGGACAACCCTTATTCCCATCACCCATGGGTCCCCAACCCATTCCCAGGCTCCCTCGGAGCCCTGCATGATCTGTCTCCTGCCACTTTTCTGGATCCTCAGGTTCTCACTCAGCATCTTTCAGATACTAACATTGGCCTTTTCAGTGCTGTTCCTTCTGCCTGGAACAGACATGTTCTACCTCTTTACCCTATGAACTCCTACTCAAATGTCACTTCCCCAGGGAAATTGTCCCTGTCGCACCACATACTACACATGCATTGTCACACATTTTCCCACACTCTGTAAGTCCTTGACAGCACTAATCACAACCTACAAATCCATCTTTATTTGTGTGCCAGTGTGAGTAACATTTGTTTCCCTGGTGGGCTGTAGGTTTTCAGAGGCACTGGGCTGACATCCTTGCTGTTGTAGCCCCTGACCCAGCACCGTCCTCCTCATTACAAAGTAAGAGCTCCATAAACGCCCACTGGAAGAAGGATGGAGGACATGCTAATGGGCCTGTGCTCAGACAGCCTGTGGCTGGGGGCGCTGCAAAGAGCCAGGTCTCTGAACTTCATACCCCACATTCTTCCCACCTTGTCAGGTCACATGGAGGCCACAGGTGCAGGGCTTTCTGTGGAAGGCGAGGGCAGCCACCTTTTCAAGATAAGGTTAGGCCTGATCAGATTTTAGTTGCAGGAAGAGCTCTGAGCTGAGAGATAGAACTCAGGGAAAAGCAGGAGACGGCCATAATTACTAACCCAAAACCTCCACGAGGCAGAAAGCCTTCTGTGGTTCCATGTTAGATGCTAAGTTGCTTGGGTGTGAACACCAACTCTGTCCACTACTAGCTGTGTGTCTTTGGGGGAAGTTACTTACCTCTCTGAGCTTCAGTTCTCTTATCTCTTGCTCAACAAATATACCCACCACATGTCACATCTGGAACTAGGGGTACCTCAGTGGACAAAGCAAGAGCCCTGTTTCCATGGCACTGAGGTGGGGGACAAGCAGGTCACACAGCAAGCAGGCCACAAATACCATGCCAGGAAGTGGTGAAGCAATGAAGCAAGCAAAGTGATGGCAGGAAAGAGGTGGCAGGAGAGAGGTGCGAGCCCACTATTGTTTCTCTATTAAGGTGACATTTTGCTGAGGCTCAATAACAGAAAGGTACAACACCTGTGGATATTTGCGAAAAGGCACCTTGGGCAGAGGAAACAGCCAGTGCAAAGGCCCTGGGGCGGGGTGTACGTGGTATATTTGTGGAAGAGCATGCAGGATCCTATGACTGCATAAAAAGTGACTGAAAAGGACCCAAAAGGCTGTTTTGCTGGTGGCTCCCAATGAGTCACTCCAGCCCTTCTGTGGTCCCCTCCCCTCAGACCCAGGACTTGTTTTAACCAAAGGCCATGATGGAGGCCTGAAAGGCTCTGGCAGCCACTCTGGGACTCTGGGAGCCAAGGCTGCTGTGTGAGAGACACATGTACAGAGAGAACGAAGGCCCCAGACTTTGTCCCCGGGGCCTTTTTACCAAGCACCGCTCGCCCAGCAGATGTTACGTGCAGCGGTTAGAGCTCTGTCCTCCATGGAGGGCCAGCTGAGCCCCTCAAAGTGCAGAAGCAGCAGAATAATCAAGGTGTGTGGAGCAGTTTGTGAAGTGACACTGACATGGGGATGGGGAAAGTGGAGAGGCCAGAGCCACAATGGTGGCCAGGTCAGGCCAGGCGGGATCTGCACACTGTGGTGCGGCCTCCAAAGGGACAAGACGGGAGCCAGAGGGGCTGTAACCAGAGCACGTAAGTGACCTTGCTCCAAAGGGTCACTAAGAGCAGACTCTGCACAGGGCCCTAACACAGCACTACAGGTGTGGCGAGTCTCGGTGGTGCTGGTGTAAGGAGGGCTCCATGCCTAAACTAGGAGGCCCACAAGGGGCGCAGGGCAGTCGAGGTCCCTCTGTCTCTCATGATGTGCAGATCCATCATCTCCGCCTCTCTCTGATGGGCATGTCAGACACAAGAGAACAGCTGCCCCACTGCGGGTGACACACAGCCACATGCACCTGGGGCTCTGCCAACTGCCGTGTGCAAACTGTGACCTCATCACCCTTTCAGGAACCCAACATGCCCTGAGAAAGTCATGCACTAAGTTGGTAACAGTGGTCCAAAAAGCAATAAGCCTTGTGGCCTGAGGGTGACAGGGTTCAAGTGCTGCAAGAGAGGGGAGGCCACGCCCACATCAAGGCACAAAGAACTATTATTAATCAGGAACAAAAGTCTCTGAACAGAGCAGCACAGATCTGCTCAATACTCAGCAACTGGGGTCAGTGACCCAGGGCAGCAGCTGGAGCCTGGTGACTTGAAGCTCTGGCCTGTCACCAGTTAGCTGGGTCACAGCAGGAGGGACAGCCCTATTCTCCTGTCATGTCAACACCACAGGCGAGATAGGAAGGGGTCTCACACAACACACAACCCAGGCTGGGCCTCACTGAGTGCCTGCTTTGTGTCAGGCTATCCCAGCACTTGCTATGTACAGCCACACAGAATACTCTGACTCTTTAATTAGAAGTCCTCCTATTTAAGGCCAGGCATGGTGGCTCACATCTGTAAGCCCAGCTACTCAGGAGGCAGAGATCAGGACTGTGGTTTGGGACCAGCCTGGGCAAAAAGTTTGGGAGACCCTATCTCAACCAATAAAGCTGGGCATGGTGGTACACACCTACCAGCCCAGCCACGTGGGAAGTGGAAATAAGAGGATCGAGGTCTAGACTTGCCGGACAAAACTTCAAGACCCCAGTAACCAAAGCACAAAGGGCTGGGGGTGTGGCTCAAGTGGTAGAGTGATGCCAAGAAAGCTTGAGTTCAAACCCCACTTCTGCCAAAATAATAAAAAATCAAAAAGGATCATCCCTATTCTATAGACGAAGGCTCTGAGAATCGGGGAGGGTAAGCGGCTGGCCACCCACACAGCTGCTGAGTGCTGGGACTGGGACCTGGCCCCAAAACATGGCCTTCTGCCTGAGCAGCTTCCCTGGGCCGTGGTATGGAAGATGCCGTGGGGACACGGCCAGTAATCTTCCGTCCGTCCTCCATATGACAGCTCTGCCAGAACGTGCTGTCCCCTGCAGAGACGATCCCCGATCCCCGGGCAGAGCTCCCTTCCCAGTGCCTGCGATTTAGGGGGACTTTTCCTCCGGGAGTCCCATCTTTAAATACGAACTATCCAACCACACCCTTGAACGTGGGCGCCTGTTTTTATTATGAGTAGCCACCTCCTCTCGCTCTCATACAGGACCTCACACTTGTCAAAGATGACATCGCCTGCTTTCTCACGCCCACCTACACAGGTAAGCACAGGAGGCTTCACTGCCTTGGCTGCTTCTTCTTTTTTTTTTCCTTTGGCAGTGCCTTTTGAACTCAGGGCCTCAAGCTTGCCAGGCAGGTGCTTTACCACTTGAGCCACTCCACCAGCCCTTTGTGCTTTTTAGCTATTTTCCAGATGGTGTCTTATGCTTTCTGCCCAGAGCTGGCCTCAGACTATGATCATACCTATGCTTCCTGTGTAGGTAGGATTACAGATATGCATTATCACATCCAGCTTGTTCTTCTCACTAACTTGTACCCAGGCTGGCCTCAAAACCATAGACCTCCCATCTCCCCCTCCCATGTAACTAGGATTTGCTATGGTTTTTCAACAGGGAAACAAAGGCCCGGAGAGACAGGGACCTGCCTAAGGCTTTGATATCAAGACAAACCCTGGCTCCCACTGCTTAGAAAGGCAGGTGTCTGCACCTCTCTGAGCTTCGGTCAGCACATCCTTAAAGGAGAGCATGAGTGTCTCACAATGGTTACTGTCAGGGATTCCGTGATGTGTTCCAGCCAAAGTTGTCACCATAACACAGCCACTGAGACCTGTGGTCAGTGGGTGGGCCACTTTTGCACCCCGTGCACCAGGGGACCTAGAGGCATGTTTCAGACATTGGGGTGCAACCATCTAGGGACTAGAACTTCTGAGTCCCTGGAGTCAGAGCTCAGCGATGAGATTACTGAAGTGGAAGACAATGGGAAATGACAGGGGTTGCAGGGCCAGGGGCCAGCAAAGTCACTTTCTCTGGCGTCTGGTACTCTTCCAGGTTAGGGACCAAGCAGGTGTCGCTCAGTGAAGAATGGTGAATGAACTCAAGATGAATGAAGCAGGATGGAGCGGGCGGAGGCAGGCACCTTGGGCGGGCATCCTTA